GGTCAGAGGAGAGGTCAGAGGAGGGTCAGAGGATGAGGAGGGTCAGAGGATGTCTGTACCTCCTCCAGCGCAGACACAGCGTTCCTGCACTGGGACATCCTGGTGGTGAAGTTGGACGTGGTCGGAGCTTTGTAGTCCTCATTGGTCTCGCTGATGAACTCCGTGACGCTGATCAGGTCCGGCATTCTGACTCTAGTCCAGGTTTAGTCCAGGTTTAGTCCAGGTTTAGTCCAGGTCTAGTCCAGGTCTAGTCCAGGTTTAGTCCAGGTTTGGTCTGGGTTTTATCCACCAAGATCCAGGTGAAGGAATCAGCAACAACCTGCAAGAAAGACAGGTTCAGTCCTCGTTTAGTCCTGATTAAGTCCGGGTTAAGTCCTGGTTCAGTCCTGGTTTAGTCTTGGCTTAGTCTTGGTTTAGTTCTGGTTAAGTCTTGGCTTAGTCTTGGTTTAGTTCTGGTTAAGTCTTGGATAATATTTACCAAGAATAATAATGTCCATGAGGTCACAAAGCAAAAAGGGGAAAAAATTCAAATACAAAACTTAAATTTTTACAGAAGAATGAAACAAACATCACGGGAAAAGTTTTTGTCTTTAGAATCAAACTGTGAAAATGAATCTTCTTGTTGCTGTTTAAAAGTGTCTTGCTCAAGGGCAAACCAACAACAGACAGAAGAAGGGAACCGCCAACCTCCCTTTAAATTAACTTTGAATTTATAAAGTCACTCACGTCATGGTTCAAGTCCTGCTTCTTTATCCCTGGTTTAGTCCCAATCTAGTCCTGGTTCAGTCCTGGTTTATTACTGGTGAAGACCTGGTTTAGTTCTGATCTAGTCCTGGTCTAGTCCTCATCGAGTCCTGGGTTAGTCCTAGTTTTGTCTCAGTTTAATCCGGGTTTAATCCTCATCTAGTCTTGGTTGAGTCCTGGTTTAGACTTGGTTTAGACCTGGTTTAGTCCTGGTTTAGTCCTGGTTCAGTCCTGCATTAGACCTGGTTTAGTCCTGGTTTAGTCCTGGTTCAGTCCTGGTTTAGTTCTGGTTCAGTCCTGCTTTAGACCTGGTTTAGTCCTGATTTAGTCCTGGTTTAGTCCTGGTTTAGACCTGGTTTAGACCTGGTTTAGACCTGGTTTAGTCCTGGTTTAGTCCTGGTTTAGTCCTGGTTTAGTCCTGGTTTAGTCCAGCTTTAGTCCTGGTTTAGTCCTGGTTTAGTCCTGCTTTAGTCCTGCTTTAGTCCTGGTTTAGTCCTGGTTTAGTCCTGCTTTAGTCCTGGTTTAGACCTGGTTTAGTCCAGCTTTAGTCCAGGTTTAGTCCTGGTTTAGTCCTGCTTTAGTCCTGCTTTAGTCCTGGTTTAGTCCAGCTTTAGACCTGGTTTAGTCCTGCTTTAGTCCTGGTTTAGTCCTGGTTTAGTCCTGGTTTAGTCCTGGTTTAGTCCTGCTTTAGTCCTGCTTTAGTCCTGCTTTAGTCCTGGTTTAGACCTGCTTTAGTCCTGGTTTAGTTCTAGCTCTGGCTCGGGGATTCTCAAAATGGGGATGTTGAATAAATAAAAACTTCCTTAAACTGAAGTTGGCTCGGACCCAACTAGAACTAAACCAGGTCTAAAGTGGATCTAATTAGAGTCTAAACCTGGTCCAGAGCGGGTCTAACTCGTCTGCGGCCAGGCGGAAGAACACAGGTAAACGAACCACACCTGAGCGAAGTCTGCGCCGAGATCCACCGCGCGCGCCCACCTTTACGCACGAGTCAGAGGCGTGCGCGTGACCCGCCGTGCACGCGCTGCCCGTGCATGTTCCAGAGGCTCGTGACAAACCGGACCCAGAACCGAGACCCAGATCCAGACCCAGAACCAGACCCAGAACCAGACCAGGATCCAGCGCAGCACCGGGGACCGAGCGGAGCCAGCGACGAGACGAGCTCAGAGCAGCCGCACAACTGCGCCTGTTTCCGGGCACAACACACCGAGACACGCCCTTAAAGGAACACACACCTCCAGCCCCAGGACACAGGGAGGGCATCCGGACTAAACCAGGACTAAACCAGGACTGAACAAGATCTAAACCAGGACTAAACCAGGACTGAACAAGATCTAAACCAGGACTAAACCAGGACTGACACTAAACCAGGACTAAAGCAGGACTAAACCAGGACTGAACAAGATCTAAACCAGGACTAAACCAGGACTAAAGCAGGACTACACCAGGACTACACCAGGACTAAACCAGGACTGAACAAGATCTAAACCAGGACTGAAAGATCTAAACCAGGACTAAACCAGGACTGAAACAAGGACTCAAACCAGGACTAACCAGGACTAAAGCAGGACTAAACCAGGACTACACCAGGACTAAACCAGGACTAAACCAGGACTGAACAATATCTAAACCAGGACTAAACCAGGACTTGAAACAAGATCTAAACCAGGACTAAACCAGGACTAGCAAGATCTAAACCAGGACTGAAACAAGATCTAAACCAGGACTACACCAGGACTAAACCAGGTCTAAACCAGGACTAAACCAGGACTAAACAAGGTCTAAACCAGGACTAAACCAGGTCCAGGTAAACCAGGACTAGGACTAAAGCAGGACTAAACCAGGTCTAAACCAGGACTAAACCAGGACTAATCCAGGTCTAAACCAGGACTAAACAAGGTCTAAACCAGGACTAAACCAGGTCTAAACAAGGACTAAAGCAGGACTAAAGCAGGACCAGGTAAACCAGGACTAAACCAGGACTAACCAGGACTACACCAGGACTAAACCAGGACTAAACCAGGACTGAACCAGGACTAAACCAGGACTAAACCAGGACTAAAAACTAGGACTAAAGCAGGACTAAACCAGGACTAAACCAGGACTAAACCAGGACTGAACCAGGACTAAACCAGGACTAAACCAGCTAAACCAGGACTAAACCAAGGACTAAACCAGGTCTAAACCAGACTAAACCAGGACTAAACCAGGACTAAAACCAGGTCTAAACCAAGGACTAAACCAGGTCTAAACCAGTCTAAACCAGGACTAAACCAGGACTAAAGGACTAAACCAGGACTGAACCAGGACTAAACCAGGACTAAAGCAGGACTAAAGCAGGACTAAACCAGGACTAAACCAGGACTAACCAGGACTAAAACCAGGACTAAACCAGGACTAAACAGGACTGAACCAGGACTAAACCAGGACTAAACCAGGGACTAAACCAGGACTAAACCAGGACTAAACCAGGACTAAACCAGGACTAAACTAAACCAGGACTAAACCAGGTCTAAACCAGGACTAAACCAGGACTAAACCAGGACTAAACCAGGACTAAACCAGGACTAAACCAGGACTACCAGGACTAAACCAGGACTAAACCAGGACTAAAGCAGGACTAAACCAGGACTAAACCAGGACTAACCAGGACTAAACCAGGACTAAACCAGGACTAAACCAGGACTAAACCAGGACTAAACCAGGACTAAACAGGTCTCTAAACCAGGACTAAACCAGGACTAAACCAGGACTAAACCAGGACTAAACCAGGACTAAACCAGGACTGAACCAGGACTAAACCAGGACTAAACCAGGACTAAACAGGACTAAACCAGGACTAAACCAGGACTGAACCAGGACTAAACCAGGACTAAACCAGGACTAAACCAGGACTAAACCAGGACTAAACCCAGGACTAAACCAGGACTACACCAGGACTAAACCAGGACTAAACCAGGACTAAACCAGGACTGAACCAGGACTAAACCAGGACTAACCAGGACTAAACCAGGACTAAAACCAGGACTAAACAGGACTAAACCAGGACTGAACCAGGACTAAACCAGGACTAAAAGCCAGGACTAAACCAGGACTAACCAGGACTAAACCAGGAAACTAAACCAGGACTAAACCAGGACTAAACCAGGACTAAGGACTAAAGGACTAAAGGACTAAAGCAGGACTGAACCAGGACTAAACCAGGACTAAACCAGGACTAACCAGGACTAAACCAGGACTAAACCAGGACTAAACCAAGGACTTAAACACCAGGACTAAACCAGGACTAAACCAGGACTAAACCAGAACTGAAACCAGGACTAAACCAGGACTAAACCAGGACTAAACCAGGACTAAACCAGGACTGAACCAGGACTAAACCAGGACTAAATCAGGTCTCAGAGGCAGCGTCAGCTCCGTTGGACTCTGCAGTTTTCTAACACCAAAGTCGTTGCACTTTTTTATTTTATTTCGTTGTTTTAGATCAATATCGTGATTTAAAATGTCATAATTATAACAGAAGGATCCACAGGGGTCAGAGGTCACAATAAAGAAAACACAAGCACTACACAGCTGATTTAAATTAAAATAATTGATTTAAATGTATTTATTTATTTATTACTGTTCCCGTGTGAAAACTGCATCATTCTGTGACACTACAGCGCCCCCTGGAGGAGAAGCACGATCATCCGTTTAATATGAGGCTTTTATTTGAGATTCATTTTTAGAGGAAATGTTTTTTGTTTTGAAACTTTTCATCAACAGTCCCCGGGGGCGTGATTCTAACTGTAGGCACTGCTCTGTCTGAAGAACTGTGACTCGAGGAAGATTTTAATCTGAGCTTTAACACAATCTAATCTAATCTCATCTAATCTAATAAATAAATAATAATAAATAAATAAATAATAATAATATGACAAGGCAGTTATGAGGATTTTGAATTTATTTATCGACAAAATACCGAAATAAAAACACCAGCATCATGTAGAGCAACGTAAAGCATGATCATGTCCTGGTTCAGTCCTGGTTCAGTCCTGGTTTAGTCCTGGATTAGTCCTGTTTTAGTCCTGTTTTAGTCCTAGTTTAGTCCTGGATTAGTCCCTGTTTTAGTCCTGGTTTAGTCCTGGTTTAGTCTTGGTTTAGTCCTGGTTCAGTCCCGGTTCAGTCCCGTTTTCGTCCTGGTTTAGTCCTGGTTTTAGTCCTGGTTTAGTCCTGGTTTAGTCCTTTTAGTCCTGGTTTAGTCCTGGTTTAGGTTTGTCCTGGTTTAGTCCTGGTTTAGTCCTGGTTTAGTCCTGGTTTAGTCCTGGTTTAGTCCTGGTTTAGTCCTGGTTTAGTCCTGGTTTAGTTTGTATATAAAAGTGTGTACAGTGCGCGTGCCTCGGTGCAGGTCCGTGCGCGCGCGCAGGGGGCAGCGGTAAAAGCGCTCGTGAGCTCAGAGTTAAAAATAGCGTCGCAGATGTCGCGCTTACGTCACGTCTTAATAACACTCACGCGCTGTAAACATAAACACTCACGCGCTGTAAACATCTGTAGGATCACATTAAACACGTGTGTAAATGTGTGCGTGTGTGTGTGTGTGTGTGTGTGCGTGTGCGTATGCGCGCGCGTGTGTTGCGGTTGCACGCGGAGGATTTCTGGCACTTCGCAGATTCCACATGTTTGACTCACGCCGCGCGTCAAGTTTACGCACAGCACCGACGCAAAGTGACGCGTTCCTTTCAAAGTAAAGTGTCACGTAAACAGCCTAAGAGTTTATATAGAAGTATTAGTAGTAGTAGTAGTAGTAGTAGTGGTGGTGGTAATAGTACAATAGTAGTAGAAGTAGTCGTGGCAGTAATAGTAGTATAATTGCAGTAAAATAGTAGTTATAGTAGTATATTAGTAGTAATAATAGTATAATGTAGTAGTAGTAGTAGTAGTAGCAGTAGTAGTAGTATAATAATAGTAGTAGTAGCAACAGTAGTAGTAGTAGTTGTTGTATAATAGTAGTAGTAGTAGTATAATATTAGAAGTAGTAACAGTAGTAGTAGTAGTAGGTAGTGGTGGTATAGTAATAGTAAATAGTAGTAATAGATAGTAGTTATAGTAGTATATTAGTAGTAATAATAGTATAATGTAGTAGTTGTAGGAGCAGTAGCAGTAGTAGTAGTATAATAATAGTAGTAGTAGCAACAGTAGTAGTAGTAGTTGTTGTATAATAGTAATAGTAGTAGTATAGTAGTAGTAGTAGTAGTAGTAGTAGTAGTAGTAATAGTAGTAATAGTAATAGTAATAGTAACAGCAGTAGCAGTAGTGGTAGTAGTAGCAATAGTAATAGTAGTACTATAATAATAGTAGTAGTAGTAGTAACAGTAGTCGTGCAGTAATAGTAGTATAATAATAGCAGTAGTAGTAGTAGTAGTAGTAGTAGTTATAGTAGTAGTAGTAAGAGTAGTACTAGTGTAGTACCAGTGCTAATAGTAATAATAGTAGTATTAGTAGTAGCAGTAGTAGTAGTAATAGCAACAGCAGCAGCAGTAGTAGTAGTAGTAGTAGTAGTAGTAGTAGTAGTAGTAGCAACAACAGTGGTAATAGTAGTATAATAGTAGTAGTAATAGTAGTAGTCGTAGTAGTATTAGTAATAGTAGTATAATAGTAGAAGTGGTACTAGTAATAATAGTATAATGTAGTAGTAGTAGTAGGAGCAGTAGGAGTGGTAGTATTAGTAATAGTAGTATAATAGTAGAAGTGGTACTAGTAATAATAGTATAATGTAGTAGTAGTAGTAGGAGTGGTAGTATTAGTAGTATAATAGTAGTCAAAGTAGTAATAGTAGTGTAATAATTCGTCAGTCTGTCCCAGGGCAGCTGTGGCTACAGTAGTAGTTTACACCACTGAGTGTTGAGTGAATGAAAAATGAAGTGTTAAACACTTTGGGGATCTTGAAAAGGCGCTGTGTAAATGCAACGATTAATTAATTAATAATAGTTAATAACGTTAGCAGTGGTAGTTTTATTGTGAAGTTGTGTTTCCGGTGTCGCGTGTTTCGGTGGAGCTTTCCTCGCGTGTCGCTCGTGTTTCTCTTCCGGCTCTTCGGTTCTTCTTGGGATTTTCGCTCTTTGTACAAACCTTTCCCGCTGTAACTCTCCCCAAAAATGACTTTAAACTAAACTTTTTGACTTTTTGAATCCCGCTTCAGTCCGCGGATCCACGATGGTCCCGCCGCGGCTCGTGTGCGCGTGTCTGTGGGTTTGGGTCGCGACAGGCGCAGTTTCTCCGCCGCAGCCGCCGCGGGAAGAGTACGGTGAGTCCAGCCCGTGTACGTGAAGAGCCAGGCCGTGTACGTGAAGAAATGACGAAATGAAAGTGTAAAAGTTTCGTGCGAAGTTTAACCCGCAGCGGAATACGGAAGCCCCGAGGCGAAAGCGGAATCTGTGACAGCGAGATTTTAATTATCATGTCTGGGATAGTCCCGGTTTAGTCCTGATTTAGTCCTGTTTAAGTCCTGGTTCAGTTCCGTTTAATTCCAGGTTAAGATCTGATCTGGTTAAGTCCTGTTTAAGTCCTGGTTAAGATCTGGTTTAGTCCTGGTTCACTCCTGGTTAAATCCTGTTTAAGTCCAGGTTAACGCCTTATTTAGACCTGATTAAGTCCTGGTCTAGTCCTGATTACATCCTGGTTTAGTTCTGCTTTAGTCCTGGTTTAATCCTGGTTTGACCCTGATTTAGTCCTGATTGAGTCTTGGTTAAATCCAGGTTCAAGTTCTGTTTACGTTCTCGTTTAGTCCTGTTTAAGTCCTGGTTAAGATCTTGTTTAGACCTAGTTAAGTGCTGTTTAAGCCCAGGTTTACTCCTGGTTTAGTTCTGTTCAAGTCCTGGTTTAGATCTGGTTTAGACATGATTAAGTCCTGGTCTAGTCTTGTTTAAATCCTGGTTTAAGTCCTGGTTTAAGTCCTGATTTTATCCTGATTTAGTCCTGGCTAAGTCCTACTTTAGTCTTAAGTCCCGATTGAGTCCCGATTGAGTCCCGATTGAGTCCCGATTGATTCACGATTTAGTCCTGGTTTAGTCCTGGTTTAGTTTGTCCTGACTTAGACCTGGTTTAGACCTGGTTAAGTCCCATTTGAGTCCCATTTGAGTCCTGGTTTAGTCCTGGTTTAGTCCTGTTTTAGTCCTGGTTTAGTCCTGGTTTAGTCACACTTTAGTCTTAGGCTTTTTACTGCCTAGGTACTTCAGTGATGTAATAATATTTTGTTTGTGGTTCAGGGTATTTATTTATTTTATTTATTTATTTTTTTTTGGTTTTAGACTTGGACTTTATGGATCCACAAGGAAATAATTTGATGTTTTTTATTATTTGTTTTGTAAATGTCGTCACGTGCTGTTGATGTAAATGTTTGTGACACACTGGGAGGGCATCTGACTCACTCTGATCCCGTCACAGACTCTCTGTACTCGCGGCTGGAGGACTTCGAGGTCTTGCCCTGGTCCGGACTTCAGACTCACTCGGTCCGACGCCGGGACCTGGAGCCTCAGAGCCACGGGGAGAAACTGCTCAGCTTCAGCGCCCTCAGCAGGTGACGCCCACACGCCGCGCCCGAAAAGTGACGCAGCGCAGCTTTAATGCTCCTGTGAACTCTTTAAAGCGCCTGTAAACCCTCTGCAACCCTGTTCTAATGTGAGGAAATGTTCCGCACTGAAGCTTTAACCCTGTTGTAAATTGAACCCATTTTATTTTGAGTTATAAAAGCTCTGATTGGCTGTTGTTTTCTCACTCTGCTTTGTGATTGGCTGTTGTTTTGGCAATCTGCTCTGTGATTGGCTGTTGTATTCTCACTCTGCTCTCCGATTGGCTGTTGTTTTCTCACTCTGCACTGTGATTGGCTGTTGTTTTCTTACTCTCCTCTGTGATTGGCTGTTGTTTTGGCAATCTGCTCTGTGATTGGCTGTTGTATTCTCACTCTGCTCTCCGATTGGCTGTTGTTTTCTCACTCTGCACTGTGATTGGCTGTTGTTTTCTTACTCTCCTCTGTGATTGGCTGTTGTTTTCTCACTCTGCTCTGTGATTGGCTGTTGTTTGGTCACTCTACTCTCTGATTGGCTGTTTTATTCCCACTCTGCGCTGTGATTGGCTGTTGTATTCTCACTCTGCTCTGTGATTGGCTGTTGTATTCTAACTCTCTTCTGTGGCTGGCTGTTGTTTTGTCTCTCTGCTCTCTGATTGGCTGTTGTATTCTCACTCTCTTCTGTGATTGGCTGTTGTATTCCCACTCTGCGCTGTGATTGGCTGTTGTATTCTCACTCTCTTCTGTGATTGGCTGTTGTATTCCCACTCTGCGCTGTGATTGGCTGTCATTTTCTTACTCTGGTCTGTGATTGGCTGTTGTATTCTCACTCTGCTTTGTGATTGGCTGTTGTTTGGTCACTCTACTCTCTGATTGGCTGTTGTATTCCCACTCTGCTCTGTGATTGGCTGTCGTTTTCTTACTCTGCTCTCTGATTGGCTGTCGTTTTCTCATTCTGCTCTGTGATTGGCTGTCGTTTTCTCACTCTGCTCTCCGCTCAGACACTTCCGGTTGTACCTGCGGACCAATGAGGAGCTGTTCTCCGAGGGGTTCAAGGTCGTGGTCGTTGAGGACGGAGTCGAGCGCGAATATCCCGTGAACCGCAACAACTACTACACCGGACACGTCATCGGTCAGACCTGGTTTAGTCCTGGTTTAGTCCTGGTTTAGTCCCGGTTTAGTCCTGGTTTAACCCGGTCTCTGTTCTAGGCGAGGAACACTCCAGAGTTCAGGCGCTCATCGATGACACGGAGTTCTCGGCTCGAATCCTCACACACGACGGAGAATTCAACATCGAGGTACCAGACCAGGACTAAACCAGGACTAGACCAGGACTAAACCAGGACTAGACCAGGACTGAACCAGGACTAGACCAGGACTGAACCAGGACTGAACCAGGACTAAACCAGGACTAGACCAGGACTAAACCAGGACTGAACCAGAACTAAACCAGGACTGAACCAGGACTAAACCAGACTGAACCAGGACTAAACCAGGACTGAACCAGGACTGAAACCAGGACTAAACCAGGACTGAACCAGGACTAAACCAGGACTGAACCAGGACTGAACCAGGACTAAAGCAGGACTAAACCTGGTTTAAACCAGAACTGAACTCGGACTGAACCAGGACTGAACCAAGACTGAACTTGGACTAAAGTAGGACTAAACCAGGACTAAACCAGGACTGAACTTGGACTAAAGCAGGACTAAACCTGGTCTAAACCAGGACTAAACCAGGACTGAACTTGGACTGAACCAGGACTAAACCAGGACTAAACCAGGACTGAACTTGGACTGAAGCAGGACTGAACCAGGACTATTCTAGGACTGAACCAGAACTTAACCAGGACTGAACCAGAACTTAACCAGGACCGAACCAGGACCGAACCCGGACTAAACCCGGACTAGACCAGACTAGACCAGGACTAGACCAGGACTAGACCAGGACTAGACCTGGACTAGACCCGGACTAGACCAGGACTGAACCAGGACTGAACCAGGTCTAAACCGCCTTTGACCTTCGACCTTGTGTGTGGCGTGCAGCCGTTGTGGAGGTTCAGCGCGGCGCCCCCTGATGGTCGTCTGCTCGTCTATCGCTCTGAGGACATCAAGAACCTGAGCCGAGTCCACCAGCCCTCGGTCTGCGGCTACACGACCTCTGACCCCTCGCTGCTCCTGCCCGACGCCGTGAGGGAGGGGCTGAGGGAGGCCCAAGAGACAGGTGAGACAGGGACTGCTCCTGCCCGACGGGGTTAGGGTTAGGTTAGTCCTGGTTTAGTCCTGGTTTAGTTCTGTTTAGTTCTGGTTCAGACCTGTTTTAGTCCTGGTTTAGTCCTGGTTTAGACCTGGTTTAGTCCTGGTTTAGACCTGGTTTAGTCCTGGTTTAGTCCTGGTTTAGACCTGTTTTAGTCCTGGTTTAGACCTGGTTTAGTCCTGGTTTAGACCTGTTTTAGTCCTGGTTTAGTCCCTGGTTTAGTCCTGGTTTAGACCTGTTTTAGTCCTGGTTTAGACCTGGTTTAGTCCCTGGTTTAGTCCTGGTTTAGTCCTGGTTTAGACCTGTTTTAGTCCTGGTTTAGTCCTGGTTTAGACCTGGTTTAGTCCTGGTTTAGACCTGGTTTTAGTCCTGGTTTAGACCTGGTTTAGTCCTGGTTTAGTCCTGGTTTAGACCTGGTTTAGTCCTGGTTTAGTCCTGGTTTAGACCTGTTTTAGTCCTGGTTTAGACCTGGTTTAGTCCTCCTGGTTTAGACCTGTTTTAGTCCTGGTTTAGACCTGGTTTAGACCTCTGGTTTAGTCCTTGTTTAGACCTGGTTTAGACCTGTTTAGTTGTTTAGACCTGGTTTAGTCCTTGTTTAGACCTGGTTTAGACCTGGTTCAGACCTGGTTTAGTCCTTGTTTAGACCTGGTTTAGACCTGGTTTAGTCCTTGTTTAGACCTGGTTCAGACCTGGTTTAGTCCTTGTTTAGACCTGGTTTAGAGACCTGGTTTGGTTTAGACCTGGTTCAGTGAAGACCTGGTTCATGTTTTCCTGAATTTCGTATTCGTATTCGTACTGATGAAAGTTTAATCGTAAATTTTCATTTCGTGATCATAATTCTTGACGTTGTAACTTTTCAGTTTGTGTTCTGATGGATAAAATACACACAATATATTTTATGTACAAGTCAATTCATTCCAGAGTTTATGAATATTATTTATTTATTTATTTTATGCTCAACTACAGACAAACCTGCACCGATTTCACAAATATGTAAACAAATATTTCTGAAAGTTTTTTTTACTCCATATGGTTTAGTCCTGCTTTATTTCTGGTTCTGGCTCTGCTCCTGCCTCACCTGTCTGCTCCTGTCTCACCTGTCTCACCTGTCTCACCTGTCTCACCTGTCTCACCTGTCTCACCTGTCTGCTCCTGTCTCACCTGTCTGCTCCTGTCTCTGTCTCACCTGTCTGCTCCTGTCTCACCTGTCTGCTCCTGTCTCACCTGTCTCACCTGTCTGTCTGCTCCTGTCTCACCTGTCTGCTCCTGTCTCACCTGTCTGCTCCTGTCTCACCTGTCTGCTCCTGTCACCTGTCTGCTCCTGTCTCACCTGTCTGCTCCTGTCTCACCTGTCAGAGTGGAGGTGCAGTCAGACGTACGACCACAGCAGAAACACCTGCCCGCTGCTGCTCGTGGCCGATCACAGATTCTTCAAAAACATGGGACGAGGAGAAGAAAGTATCACCCTGAACTACCTGGTACGAGACAGGAGCGCACCTGACACACAGGAGGGCACCTGACACACAGGAGGGCACCTGACACACAGGGAGGGCACCTGACACACAGGAGGGCACCTGACACACAGGAGGGCACCTGACACACAGGAGGGCACCTGACACACAGGAGGGCACCTGACACACAGGAGGGACACCTGACACACAGGGAGGGCACCTGACACACAGGAGGGCACCTGACACACAGGAGAGGGCACCTGACACACACACCTGGACACACAGGAGGCACCTGACACACAGGAGGGCACCTGACACACAGGAGGGCACCTGACACACAGGAGGGCACCTGACACACAGGAGCGCACCTGACACACAGGAGGGCACCTGACACACAGGAGGGCACCTGACACACAGGAGGGCACCTGACACACAGGAGGGCACCTGACACACAGGAGGGCACCTGACACACAGGGACCTGACACACAGGAGCACCTGACACACACCTGACACACAGGGAGGGCACCTGACACACATGACACACACACGAGGGCACCTGACACACACACCTGACACACACGGGAGGGCACCTGACACACAGGAGGTGACACATGACACACAGGAGCACCTGACACACAGGCACCTGACACATGTGACACTGACACAGTGACTGACACACCAGTGACACTTACACACAGGTGACCTGGTTTAGACTGACACACAGTGGTGACATCCTGGTTTGAGTCCTGGTTTAGTCCTGGTTTAGACCCTGGTTTAGACCTGGTTTAGACCTGGTTTAGACCCTGGTTTAGACCTGGTTTAGTCATAGTTTAGACCTGGTTTAGACCCAGTTTACATCTAGATTAGACCTGGATTAGACCTGGTTTTAGACCCTGATTTAGTCCAGATTTAGACCCTAGTTTAGTCCTGGTTTAGTTCTGATTTAATCCCTGATTTAGGACAGTCAAGGAGCATTCAGATTCACACGGGGAGGCGGTGGGAGGGCATCTGACACACGGGGAGGCGGTGGGAGGGCATCTGACACACGGGGAGGCGGTGGGAGGGCATCTGACACACGGGGAGGCGGTGGGAGGGCATCTGACACACGGGGAGGCGGTGGGAGGGCATCTGACACACGGGGAGGCGGTGGGAGGGCATCTGACACACGGGGAGGCGGTGGGAGGGCATCTGACACACGGGGAGGCGGTGGGAGGGCATCTGACTCTTTTGTAAAGGCAGATCTCGTTGCAGATCGAGTTGATCGATCGAGTCGATGACATTTACAGAAACACGACCTGGGACCAAGAGTTCAGCGGATACGGAGTCCAGATCCAACAGGTCAGACCCCGATTAGACCTGGTTTAGAACTTTTTAGACTCGGTTTAGACCTGGTTTAGACCTGGTTTAGACTCGGTTTAGACTCGGTTTAGACCCAGTTTTGTACCCATGTTTAGTACTGCTTTAGACCTAGTTTAGATCCAGTTTAGACCCGGTTTATACCTCGTTTAGACCTTGTTTAGACCTGGTTTAGACCTGGTTTAGACCTGGTTTAGACCTGGTTTAGACCTTGTATAGACCTTGTATAGACCTGGGTTTAGACCTTGTTTAGACCTGGTTTAGACCTGGGGTTAGACCTGGTTTAGACCTTGTTTAGACCTTGTTTAGAACCTTGTATAGACTGGGTTTAGACCTGGTTTAGACCTCATTTAGACCCGGTTTAGACTTGGTTTAGACCTCAGTTTAGACCTCGCTTAGATCTCGTTTAGACATGGTTTTGTCCCAGTTTCGACCTGGTTTAGACCTGGTTTAGACCTGGTTTAGACCTGGTTTAGACCTGGTTTAGACTGGGTTTAGAGCTTGTTCAGTCTAAACCAGGATATTTAATTTGTGTGTTTGTGCTTTTGTCTGTATATTTGTTTGTTTCTGTATTTGTCTGTGTTTGTGTGTTTGTATATTTGTGTTTTTTGTGTTTGTGTGTTGTGTTTGTGTGTGTTTTTGTGTTTTTTGTGTTTGTGTGTTTTTTGTGTGTGTGTGTGTTTTGTGTGTTTTTTGTGTGTGTTTGTGTGTTTGTAGATCCTGATAGAGAAGACGGCGACTCCGGTGTCTCCAGGACAGAGTCACTTTAACATGGAGGGAAGCCCAGTGCCCGGGAGAGACGTGTGGGACGTCAAGAGGCTGCTCGAGGTACTGCACCTGCCCCCGCGTGTGTCAGGTGCCCTCCCCGTGTGTGTCAGGTGCCCTCCCCGTGTGTCAGATGCCGTCAAAATTTTCCTCCACTCGAGTATTTTCTGTGTTTTTTTAACATGTGAGAGACATCCGCCGCAACTTCCTGTTCTCTGCCTCTAAATATTAATACATTTTAGCACGACTCAGCAAAAAACACCCATAAATACAGCTGAACAGGAAGTAGTGACGCTCACAGTGATTCTGCTGTTGCGCAAACACACAGTTAGGGTTCTGTTCTCTACTTCAGGATGTGTGTAAAATCCCTCGGTCGTGCAGGCAGAGTCCATGCTTCAGTTCCGGTCAAAACGCGGTTGGACACGTCCTTATATCTGCCTGAGGGGAGGAGCTAACTACACTGAAACTCCTCTGAACCTAACACACACACTTGTTTACAGTTTCTGTTTATTAGCTCGGCCTGTTGAACTTGCACTGAGCGTGAGGTAGGGACTGAATATTCAGCAACTGAATATATTTGGCTGAATATTGCAAAAAAAAAAAAAAAAAAGCCACATTTGGGCTTCCGGTGGACTGTAAGGCTACGTTCAGACTGCAGGGTTTAACGCTCAATTCCGATTTTTTTGTGAAATCCGATGTTTTTTCGAGGTTGTTCACATTTCCAGTTAAATGTGACTTGTATGTGACTCCAGTGTGAACATTAAACGGCCCAAAAGTGTCCCACATGTGACACTGGAGACACGACGACGTCAACCGCAGCGAGCGTCTCTGTGTTTACACAAGTTGAACAAACATGGACGCAGCATCGAGCACCTGGAGATTTTAAAGTTCCTCTCGTACCGGAGCCACAACATGAACAACTGACTTGTTTTAAGGAGGAGATTGAGAAGGAGAAGGACCAGGTTTTTGGTCGTGGTGTTTTGTGGTGAGTGGAGATGTGCTTCACTTCAGTGACAGAGTTCGTGAACAGTTTTCTCCTACTTCAGTGCAGAATAGTGACGTTTGTGTCTTGTTGATGACGTGTAGGTGGATGAATGTGACCTGACCGTTCACACTGAAGTCACATGTCAAAAGATCAGATATGGATCAGTTTCAGGAGCACAGATCCAAGTGTCCTGGGTCACATGTGAAAAAATCAGATCTGTGTGGTTCAGACTGACAATAAAAGATCAGATACAGGAACATAGAGGCAAAAAAATCGGATTTGGGTCACTTCAGGTGCAGTCTGAACACAGCCTATGTAAGGCCGAGTAGCGGTGTCTGACGCAGTGACGTAAACAACCAACGTGCAGTGACGCGGTGATCTGATGCCTTCTCTAAAATGTCGGCAGTGTGGAAATACTGAGGGTGCGCTCACGTTCCGCTCTCACACCTGCACAACCGAACTGGGCCACGGGCGATGACGTCTTCACACGACGGTGTTTGTTTACATGCGACACAGTAGAGCTGTCGCTTTAGCGGAGAAAATAAGTCCAGCGGCAGAAATATCTATTAAGTAGTGAGGCAGATGTGCGTCCTTTTATGATCCGCGCTCCTCCGTGAGTTTATGGAGATAAAAACGGCGCGGAACAGTAATGACAGCCGGAGACGAGAGGCGGATAAACTTCGGTCGTCACAGTCGTCACTGAAGGTCAGCGCGGACTTGCTGTATGTTTTAGGGCGGATTTTATTCACTGTTTTCTGGTAAATAGTAGTTTTTGCATGAGCTCCCCCTGCAGGCGTGGTGTTGTAACTGCAGTTTGGGTCAGATACACAGAATAGTATTGAGAGCTTTAGCCCCGCCCTCTTGGTTTTGGTGCATGTGTCTCTCTGACGGCCCGTGGCGCTCGCTCTGTCCTCTCTGCAGCAGTTCTCTCTGGACATCGCGGAGAAGGCGTCCAACGTGTGTCTCGCTCACCTCTTCACGTACCAGGACTTTGACGAGGGGACGCTGGGACTGGCCTACGTCGCCCCCTCCAAACCCGACATCCCCGGAGGACTCTGCTCCAAACGTGAGGACGGGTTTAGACCCAGCTTAGACCGGGTTTAGATCAGGTTTAGATCAGGTTTCAAACTGGTTTAGATTGGGTTTAGACCGGGTTTAGATCTTTAGTCTTCCTTTAAACTGGATTAAGACCGGGTTTAGACCAGGGCCTAGTTTAGACATAGTTTACACCTGCTTTAAACCTGATTTAATCCTGGTTTAGTCCTGGTTTAGTCCTGGTTTGATGTTTGTTCTTGTTTTTGCAGCGTGTCCGACTTCTTCAAACATTCAAAAGGCGATTTACCTGAACACAGGACTCACCAGCACCAAGAACTACGGAAAAACCATCCTGACCAAGGTGACGACCCACAGAGGCAGTAGTAGTACTTGTACTAGTAGTTGTAGTTGTACCGGTAGCAGTAGTAGTAGTACCTGTAGCAGTGGTAGTAGTAGTAGCACCTGTAGCAGAAGTAGTACCTGTAGCAGTAGCAGTAGTAGTAGTAGTACCTGTAGCAGTAGTAGTAGTAGTAGTAGTACTTGTAGTAGTACTTGTAGTAGTAGTAGTAGTACTTGTAGTAGCAGTAACATTAGTAGTAGTAGTAGTAGTACCTGTAGCAGTAACAGTAGTAGTAGTAGTACCTGTAGCAGTAGTAGTAGTAGTAGTACTTGTAGTAGTACTTGTAGTAGTAGTAGTAGTACTTGTAGTAGCAGTAACATTAGTAGTAGTAGTAGTAGTAGTAGTAGTACCTGTAGCAATAACAACAGTAGTAGTAGAAGTAGTAGTAGTAGTACCGCCTGTAATAGCAGTAACAGTAGTAGTAGTAGTACCTGTAGCAGTAGTAGTAACTGTAGCAGTAGTAGTAGTAGTACCTGTAGCAGTAACAGTAGTAGTAGTAGTACCTGTAGCAGTAACAACAGTAGTAGTAGTAGTCGTAGTAGTAGTACCTGAAGTAGCAGTAACAGTAGTAAAAGTAGTAGTACTTGTAGTAGTAGTAACAGTAGTAGTACCTGTAATAGCAGTAACAGTAGTAGTACTTGTAGTAGTAGTAGCAGTAACAGTAGTAGAAGTAGTAGTACTTGTAGTAGTAGTAACAGTACTTGTCCTGCAGGAGGCGGACCTGGTGACGACTCATGAACTCGGTCATAACTTCGGGGCGGAACACGACCCGGACAAAATGGCGGAGTGCGCCCCCCGAGAGGATCAGGGCGGGAAGTACGTGATGTACCCCATCGCTGTGAGCGGAGACCACGCCAACAACAAGGTGAGGGGCGGGGCTTACACCGGGTTTAGACCGGGTTCTGTTTTAGACCTGGTTCAGTCCTGGTCCTGGTTCAGTCCTGGTTCAGTCCTGGTCCTGGTCCTGGTCCTGGTTCAGTCCTGGTTTCTGGTTCTTCCTCAGCTCTTCTCCGTTTGTTCCAAACGTTCCATCGTGAAGCGTCTGAGGTGGAAAGCTCCGTCGTGTTTTAAACCTCGGACGGTGAACGTTTGTGGGAATTCTCGGGTGGAGCAGGGGGAGGAGTGTGACCCCGGACTCCTGCACCTGACCTCTGACCCCTGCTGCACCAGCACCTGCCAGCTCCGAGAACACGCCCGCTGCAGGTGAGACGCACCGCACCTGACGCACCTGACGCACCCGACGCACCTGACGCACCCGACTCACCCGACTCACCTGACACACCTGACCCCACCGCTGTCAGAAGCACCAGTCTGTACCTTCCGCTGTGGTTTTTACGGCTCATGTTCTCTCTCTCTCCTCAGCGACAGGAACAGCGCCTGCTGCAAAAACTGTCAGTTTGAGGTCAAAGGTCAAGTGTGTCAGGAGCCAATCGAGGCCACGTGTAAAGGCCACGCCCACTGCACAGGTAACACCCACCTGTCCCACACCAAGGACCGGGTTAGTCCCGGTTCAGTCCTGGTTCAGTCCTGGTTTAGTCCTGGTCTAGTCCTGGTTCAGTCCTGGTTCAGTCCTGGTCTAGTCCTGGTCTAGTCCTGGTCTAGTCCTGGTCTAGTCCTGGTCTAGTCCTAGTCCTGGTCAGTCCTGGTCTAGTCCTGGTCTCCTGGTCTAGTCCTGGTCTCCTGGTCTAGTCCTGGTCTAGTCCTGGTTCCTGGTTCTAGTCCTGTCTGGTCAGTCCTGGTTCAGTCCTGGTTCAGTCCTGGTCTAGTCCTGGTCTAGTCCTGGTCTAGTCCTGGTTCAGTCCTGGTCTAGTCCTGGTCTAGTCCTGGTCTAGTCCTGGTCTAGTCCTGGTCTAGTCCTGGTCTAGTCCTGGTCTAGTCCTGGTCTAGTCCTGGTCTAGTCCTGGTCTAGTCCTGGTCTAGTCCTGGTCTAGTCCTGGTCTAGTCCTGGTCTAGTCCTGGTCTAGTCCTGGTCTCAGTCCTGGTCTAGTCCTGGTCTAGTCCTGGTCTAGTCCTGGTTCAGTCCTGGTTCAGTCCTGGTCCTAGTCCTGGTCTAGTCCTGGTCTAGTCCTGGTCTAGTCCTGAGTCCTGGTTCTCCTGCCTGGTCAGTCCTGGTCTAGTCCTGGTGACAACAGTTCGTGTTTGGACAGCGGGCGCTGCGAGGGCGGAGTCTGTGTGCCCTTCTGCCAGGTGAAGCTGCAGGTGCCGCCCTGCGCCTGTAACGGTGAGTGCCCTTTGACCTTTGATGCGTGACCTTTGACCTGTGACCCCAGACTCATGTGGCGTGTGTGTGTGTGTGTGTGTGTGCGTGTGGCAGAGACACACTCGTCGTGTAAAGTGTGCTGCCTGACCAGCAGAGGGCGCTGTGAGCCGTACAGAGACGCTCAGGGACACCTGTACCTGAGGAAGGGCAAACCCTGCACCGTGGGATTCTGCGACGGAGAAGTGAGTTTATTTATATTTATCCAACGGTTTTATCGTCTCTGTGTCACCTCCGTGTTTCTGTGGACTTTGATCAGTTTAATGCCTCATTGTGGAACATTCCAATCAAATCAGTAACATCTCCATGGAGACGAGCACGTGGTAGAACCTCCTCCAGAAAAGTTACACACTGCAGCTTTAGGCCCCGTTTACACGTACATGGGTTTTTTTTAAAAACTGAGACATTTTCCTTCATTTGTTTCCATCTTTTACACACAAACAGCGAATTCGCCTCTGAAAACAAATCTTTCTGAAAATTCCGGCTCGAGTGGAGATTCTGGAAAACTCCGGTTTCACGTTTGTGCGTAAAGTGAAATAAACTGAGTTTTAGGAGCTGAGGCGCTGAAAGTGCGACCGACGTTTACCTTTTGTTATGATGACGACAGTGCGGGAAAGTGAGAATGTTCTGTGGACCACAGGTCCGGCTGCTCTGGTCCTCCGCGCTCGACCGCGGCTCGTTCTGAGGTGCTGCAGCGTCCGGACAGAAGTGTGAATCCTGTTTGTTTCGTTGTGTTGTTCTGAGCGTCCGTCTGCACACGTGTTGTGAAGGGAGGTACTGGACACCACCCCCCACTTCAGCTCATCTGTTTGTTCTGCTGAAACACTTTTCATGTGTTTGTATTTTCACACACTGATGGATCAGATCCATGAGCAGAGATGAACAAGAGCTCAAAGGTCTGTGATTTTACCACTTCTTTAACAGATCTGTGGAGAGGCGAGCCGCTCACTAATGCACGTTTTACAAAGTATTTTTGAGTAATCCTTAAAACTGTAATGAAATAAACGCTACAGGTTTGAATCTAATCCAGCTGCGCCCAGAGGTTTGGTGTAGTTCTGACGGCGCTCGATGGAGGATTTATGCAGGTCGAAGTAAACTAAAACTTTATTGAAAACGATGCTGCACGATGTGATTGTGGAAAACAGAGGGAGGGAAATATTTGTTTTTTAAAATACCCGACTCTGTGTAAACGTCGCCTTAATCACAATGATCTGATTTAGATCATTATGACAAACTCTTCCTCTCCTCTCTCTTCTTTCATTCATTTGTTTATTTGTTTGTTTGTTTGTTTGTCCGTTCTTTCGTTCCAGGGTAAGTGTATGAAGCAGGTGCAGGACGTGATCGAGCGTCTCTGGACTTTCATCGATAAACTCGACATAAACACGTTCGGGAAGTTTCTGGCCGACAACATCGTGGGCTCGGTGCTCGTCTTCTCTCTGCTCTTCTGGATCCCACTGAGCGTCCTGGTGCACTGTGTGGTACGTCCACAAAGTCCCGGTCTAGTCCTGGTCTAATCCCGGTTTAGACCTGGTTTAGTTCCGGTTTAGTTCTGGTTTAGTTCTGGTTTAGTCCTGGTTCAGTTCTTGTTTAGTCCTGGCTTAGTCCTGGTTTAGTCTTGGTTCAGTCCTGGTTTAGTCCTGGTTTAGACCTGGTTTAGACCTGGTTTAGTCCAGGTTTAGTCCAGGTTTAGACCTGTTACAGTCCTGGTTTAGTCCTGGTTTATTACTTGTTTAGTCTTGGATTAATCTTGGTTTAGTCTTAGTTTAGTCCTGTTTTAGTCCTGGTTTAGACCTGTTATAGTCCTGGCTTAGTCATGGTGTAGTCCTGGTGTAGTCCTGGTTTAGTCCTGGTTTGAATCTGAACTTTAAACTCATCCAAGTTTCTTTTTCTGTTTCAGGACCGAAAACTGGACCAACAATACGAACAGAACACCAAGTCCCTCTTCTTCCCCAGTGTAAGTCCCACTACAGGACCAGACCAGGACCAGACCAGGACTGGACCAGGACCAGACCAGGACCGGACCAGGATCAGACCGGGATCTGTCCTTGTTTAATCCTTGTTTGGTTTTGGTTTAATCTTGGTTCAGTCCTGGCCTAACCCTTTTTGAGTCCTAGTTTCAGTCCTAGTCTACTCCTGATCTAGTCCTGGTCTAGTCCTGGTCTAGTCCTGGTCTAGTCCTGGTCTAGTCCTGGTCCAGTCCTGGTCTAACCCTGGTCTCTTGCAGAACGGGGAGCTCTTGAGCAGTCTGGACTCGGCCTCCGTTCGGATTTTTAAGCCCTCGTTTCCGTCGGCGATGAAGTTCCAGTCGGCGTTTGGACCGAACCAGACCAGCACCCCCCCCGTGTCCTGCTCCGAGGGCCCGGACCCCCACAGAGACCCGCCCCACAGGGACCCGCCCCACAGGGACCCGCCCCACAGCGACGCCCACAGGACCCCCTCCACAGAGACCCCACCCACATGGAGCCCCTCATGGTACCTACAACTCTTCTACTGTATGGATGTCTATGGCTCAATGTTCAGCTGTTACCATATTCTGCTTGGATTTTCCATGGAAATAATAATGTTGAATTGTTGTTTCCGTGTTAAACTCGTTAAATCGTTTTTATTTCATGTGTGTGAGCGTCTGGGGGGGGGAGGTTCTGATTGGACAGAGACGCCAACGGATTTACGTCTTTGTGAAGAAAACACACACTTCATCTGCTCCCGGCTTTTCTGTCGTCTCAGTTTGTCGTTCCTCCACGGACACAAACACCGTCCAAACTTTTCCCGCGGTGATTCTGATGATTGTGAAGCAGCGGCTGGAGAATCGTCTCATCACACTTTAGGTCTGTGAGTTGAGGAGGAGAAGGGAGGAAGAAGACAAAACCTCAGTCCACTCCCACATCCCGCTCACAAATCCAAAGAGACGTGGATCAAAGTCCCGAGACACGACTGGTGGAGCCGGATCGAAGGACGACACGACGAACATGAAGCACCAGCAGCATTTTAACAAGAACAAACCACAAACATGATCCAGGAAGAAAATCATTCAACTTTAAAATCAGAATAAAGTAGGGTTGTCCCGATCTGATCACGTGATTGGAAATCGGCGCCGATCATGTGACTGCGGACTCGATCTGGACTCGGACATTATGTGTCGATCAGGTATCGGATAAATAATATATGTATATAACACACAGGACATAACAAGTTTTTCTGAGGCGCGGGATTTGCTCCGTCCCAGCGTCTGCTGTACTAGAGGTGCACTTACATTGGGACTTTTGGGTCGTGTCGTACTCGCCGCTGTTACCTGTGGTTCTGTGTTCTGTGTTCACACCTGCGCGGCCGATGGCGTCATTACACGTGCGCATGTTGCATTGCGGAGTTGGCACTTTTGGCGGAAAGGGTCCGTCCAGGGGCAGGAAGTGTCTATTGTCAGAATTAAGTTTAATTCCCAATAATCATTTTTTATTATGATTTAAGTGTTTACATGGACTTTTTTTAAAGCGGAATTCATTTTTATACAGAATTAAAGATCAAAAGGTGAAAAAAGTTTAAAGATTGTCTCAAAATCCAGATTAAAGTCTAACGGAGCCTCAAACAGCGTCTGTGTCGAGTATCATAGCAACCAAAGAGCCAATCAGAATGCTCGGGGAAGGAAGGCACCTGATTGGTCTGTTTTTAATGTTTGTAGCTATTCCACACTATTCCCGACTTTTGGCACAGTTTAGGAGTCACGCCGTGGGGACTTAAAGGCCAGTTGGTGAAGTAGTGCGCTCAAAATTTCCCACAATGCAACTTTAAAAGTCGTGTGCATCGGTGTCTCTAGAGCGAGCAGTACAGAGTGAAGTAAGTGTTTGGTTTATTCACATTTTAAAGTCGAATTAATTTCTTCCTGGATCATGTTTCTCGTTTCTTCTTATTAAAAATAATGCGGGTGCTTCGCATGATGAGATGATCAGAACCACTGCGGGAAAAGTTTGGACGGTGTTTGTGTCCGTGGAGGAACGACAAACTGAGACGACAGAAAAGCCGGGAGCAGATGAAGTGTGTGTTTTCTCCCCAAAGACGTAAATCTGTTGTTGTCTCTGTCCAATCAGAACCTCCCCCCAGACGCTCAGACACATGAAATAAAAACGATTTAACGACTTTTCTGTGGAAACATCAAGTCGGAATTATTATTTGTTTTTTGTTTTTCCCAGAATGCCGAGCTGCGCGGCCTCATGTCGGCGGACGGACACCGAATGGCCACGATCGAGGAGCAGCCCGACCTGGACCAATCGCAGCCCAGCGACCCCGAGCTCGACCAATCGCAGCGCAGCGAGGGGGCGTGGGCCAAACGGTCCTTCGACGATTTGACCGAAAACAAACCCAAGAGCCCGGCCTTCAGGGACCAGACCAGAACTAAACCGGGACTAAACCGGGACTACAGACTCCAGCACAGACAGCTCAGCCCCAAAGAGACACAGTGCTAGACCGGGACTGGGGCTGGACCAGGGTTTAGACCGGGTTTAGACCGGGTTTAGACTAAACTTGGTCTGGATGAATGTTTACTGAGCTAAAGACAATCATTAAAAAACAGCCATATAATTCTGTATATGAATGTGCCGGACTAGACCAGAACTAAACCAGGACTATGCCAGGACTATGCCAGGACTAGTCCAGGACTAGACCAGGACTGGACCAGGACTAGACCAGGACTAAACAATAACAGTAAAATCTTGAATCTGACTCTGGCCAGGACTATACCAGGACTATACCAGGACTGGACCAGGACTAAACCATAAACCAGGACTAAACCAGGACTAAACCAGGACTAAACCAGGACTAAACCAGGACTGAACCTGGACTGAACCTGGACTGGACCAGGTCTCTTTTGCCACATGTAAACCTTGAGTGTGAAGCTTTATCTGTATTTATTATTTAGTATTTGTTATATTTTTGTTGTTTAAATGTTTGGTCGTTTTGTTTTCAAAGTGCCTTAACGTCATAAATGTGTTTTTTGTTTTGTTTTGTTTTTTTGTCTTTGCTTTTACACATAAAGATTTAAAAAACAAAATCAGTTTTTTTTTTTAAACTGTTTTTATTTACATAGAGAAAAATCCCGCACACCGTCTTACTTGCAAATTGTGAGACTTTTGCAAAATCCTGATGAGCTCATTTCAAGAAATCAATTTATTCTCTCAAAATAAAAAATAAAAATAAAAGAGTTTGACTCCAGCTGCGGTTCCGGTTCCGGTCTGATGGGGGCGCTGTTGTGTCGTGCTGAAGCGGAAGTGAACGAAACCCAAACAAATTCACGTGGGGCCACAGAGCGGAGCACGGAGGAACAGACTCGTGGATTTATTTACTTTTTTATTTTTTTATTTTTTTTTACTTTTATTAAACTTTTAAATCTCTAAACTGCAGATTCCCGCGGACATGGACGAAGAGCTCACGGTGAGACGCGGCGCTTTTCTCTTTTTTTTAACGGGTAAACGGCGGGAGTCCGGCGCTACGTGCGGATTTACACTGGGTTTTACGTCACTAAGCCAGACTCCGCTTTCGTTCTTTTACAGTTTAATTTTGAACTGTTGATACTAGAATAAACTTATCATCTAGTTTAAAGATAACTTGATTTCTAATACCATAAACGCATGTGAAATCATTCGGTGCAAGTATATTTAGATGTTGTGTGTATTTTAAGTACATATGTGTCATATTTGTTGCCATGTTCATACAGTTGAATAAAATAAAAGCTAAACCTGTAGATAAGTTATAGCTCATATGTTATTTAGTTTTCTTTTTTCTTTTTTTTTTTAATACTAAGGTCTGGATAGAGATGGTTATTTCCGCTGATTTGCTAAAAGAAAACGAAAAAGTCCAGTCTTTACTTAAATATATAAAAATATTATTGACAGAGAAATTATTTTTACATGAGACACTGCTGCTTTAAATGATGTCCATCCTAATGTTAATGTCATATTGTTTAGTCCTGGATTAGTCCTGGTTTAGTCCTAGTTTAGTCCTGGTTTAGTCCTGGGTTTAGCCTTGGTTTTTGACCTGGTTTAGTCCTAGTTTAGTCCTGGTTTTAGACCTGGTTTAGTCCTGGTTTTAGACCTGGTTTAGTCCTAATTTAGTCCTGGTTTTAGTCCTAGTTTAGTCCTAGTTTAGTACTGGTTTAGTCTTGGTTTAGCCCAAAATGTGAAAACAGGAAAATCCCTCTGTGTAATCCATTTATTTCAACAAAGTAACTGTAATCCAATTACCACTCACTGAAACAGTAACTGTAACTGAATACAGTTACTTATAATTTGTACTCTGATTACTTAACTCCGGTACATGTAATCTGTTACTCCCCAACACTGCCCACGTGTCTCTATTTTTGACCAACCTGATCTAAACCAACAGTAAAAAGAAACATAAACTGTCATTTGTTTCAGTAAAATACAGAAAAGCTGCTTAAAAACGACCAAAACACAAAGAAAATGTGACTAAACTGACTCATAGTTTTTGTCATGATGGTCTCAGCAGAAACGTTTTCCTTAATCACGAACTCGTTTCACAATTTAATTATTACCAACAGGCACAACTGTACAAAAATATGAGGTGTCGCCCTGTATCTGCTCAACCTATATTTGATTAGAATATTATATTATAAACCAAAAGGAGAAATTAAATTTGTCAACTGGGCAAAAGTTTATTTGGTCGAAATGTTTCTTTCTTTTGTCCAGTTTCTTTTGCCGTGGATTCTATCTGAACGACTGAGTGATTTTAAACACATTAGAATATAAAGTTAATTAACTTTGGGGGGAAAAAACGCTCCAAACTCGTGTTGTGAGTAAAATCCTGTGGTTTTTTCTGTGTTTCAGTCGGGATACTCGGAGCCGTGTCCGCGCTGCTCTGAGACGTTCTGGGGAGTCACAGACGATGGACAATTCTTCTGCCAGAACTGCCACAACGTCATCGAGGTGAGCCACAGACGCCCCGGGGCAGACAGGGGCAGACAGGGGCAGACAGGGGCAGACAGGAGCAGACAGGGGCAGACAGACAGACGCATCTCAGTAGTGTTGTCATGATACTACAGTTTGTCTGGCTAAAACGTGGGGAACAAATGACATATTGTGGGAATGAAATAGTAATTTGAGGCCACGATTTAGTATCTTTTTTTTTTTTTTTTTTTTTTTTTTTTGCGCACATCATTCGGCGAGCTCCCTAGTTCTGGTTTTCTAGTCGGCGACCGAAGTAATAAGACAAGTTTCCAATCCACAATAATTAAAATAAATAGAGATGTGCGTGTCTAAAGAGCAATGGGGAAAAACAGACAATAATTATATTTTAAAAAACAAAAAAAAAACAGAAAAACAGTGCATTATAGTGAGGCCCCCAAACTCAAGTTCACCCAGGGCCCGCAAAATGCTGATTCTGCCCCTGCTGATTCTGATCCCACAATGAGAATAAAAACTCTTCCTTTAGACAACAGAATGCGATTTTTCACATTAAATCAAAATACTTTCTTTTCTATTCTAATTTTAATTTACTTAAAATTTTAACTAACATTTCTGTCTGATTAAATCCTTTTAAATGTCGTTTTAAACACTTCAAACTTTCCAGTGTTGATGCTTTGTCCGTATTTAAAAAATGCATAAATGAAAACTGACAGATTTGTTTTCTCAGAGGACGAGAGACGTCGTGGAGGCCGCTGCCCCGGGGATGTCCAGAGTGTCCAGCATCAAGAAGGGCCCCAGAGTCAAGAGAGCAGGTACCAGACCAGGACTAAACCAGGACTAAACCAGGACTAAACCAGGATTAAACCAGGACTAAATCAAGACTAAACCAAGACTAAACCAGAGCAAAACCAGGACTGAACCAGGACTGAACCAGGACTGAACCAGGACTGAACCAGGACTAAACCAGGACTGAACCAGGACTGAACCATCAAGAACTGTTTAATCCAGGAGTGTTAAACTCATTTTGTTCCGGGGTCGTTTCCAACCGACTTTGATCCAAAGTGTCCGGATCAGAAAACTCATGTCATATAAACCCCAAAAATAACAATAAGTTCAAATATTTGTGCAGAGAAACACAAATCTATTACAGAAATCTTTTTGAATTGATGAACTCTTTCTTTTACAAAATATTATAATATTATGAACAACCTGAAACTTTAACAAAAATTTAATTTCAACACAAAGTTTTAACATGAACTTGTATAAACAGGAATAAGTCCATTTTTGTTGTAAAATCCTGCACTCGGCTCCACTTTTCTCATGTTGGACATTTTTCTGATGAGGGTGTCACGGTCAACAGTCAAAACGATCGTCCTTTAAGAGCGTTTGGAAAGAGACAAGTCTTCATTTGTGCTGCTCTGGTGGGAGGGGCCACGTACAGAGACGCTGGAGACGCTGCTGTGATAAACACCACAGAAAATTAACACGATTTTAATAGAAAATATCATTCAAATATTTTAATAGAAAATCAGCAGAGGGCCAGATTAAAGGTCTTGGAGGGCCGGATCTGGCCCCCGGGCCGTATGTTTGACACCCCTGATTTAATCCATAAATGTCTCATTTGTTCTCTTGTGTCTGTGTCATTTGTCTGTTATTTGTGTGTGTTGTGTGTGTGTGTGTGTGTGTGTGTGTGTGTGTGTGTGTGTGTGTGTGTGTGTGTGTGTGTGTGTGTGTGTGTGTGTGTGTGTGTGTGTGTGTGTGTGTGTCTTGTGTGTGTGTGTTGTGTGTGTGTGTGTGTGTGTCTGTGTGTGTGTGTGTGTGTGTGTGTTTGTGTGTGTGTGTGTGTGTGTGTGTGTGTGTGTGTGTGTGTGTGTGTGTGTGTGTGTGTGTGTGTGTGTGTGTGTGTGTGTGTGTGTGTGTGTGTGTCAGAGGGGGGGCGTCAGTGGTTCGTCTGTGAGGGGTTCCAGTTCATTCTGAAGTCTCAGGCTGAAGCTCTGGTGCAGCTCGGAGTCGACCACAAGTTTAAGGTAAAGTTTCTAAAGTCCTGGGTTAATCCTGGTTTAGACCTGGTTTAATCCTGATTTAGTCCTGGTTTTAGTCCTAATTTAGTCCTGGTTTTGCTCTTGTTTAGTCCTGTTTTAGTGCTGGTTTAGCCTTGGTTTAGTCCTGGTTTTGCTCTGGTTTAGTCCTAAATTAGTTCTGGTTTAGTCCTGTTTTAGACCTGGTTTAGTCCTGGTTTTACTCTGGTTTAGTCCTGATTTATTCTTGGTTTAGTCCTGTTTTAGTTCTGTTTTAGACCTGGTTTAGTCCTGTTTTAGTTCTGTTTTAGACCTGGTTTAGTCCTGGTTTTAGTCCTAATTTAGTCCTGGTTTTGCTCTTGTTTAGTCCTGTTTTAGTCCTGGTTTAGTCTTGGTTTAGTCCTGGTTTTGCTCTGGTTTAGTCCTAATTTAGTCCTGGTTTAGTCTTGGTTTAGTCCTGGTTTTGCTCTGGTTTAGTCCTAAATTAGTTCTGGTTTAGTCTTGTTTTAGACCTGGTTTAGACCTGGTTTAGTCCTGGTTTAAACCTGGTTCAGACTTGGTTTAGTCTTGGTTTAGTCCTGGTTTTTGTCCTAATTTAGTCCTGGTTTTGCTCTTGTTTAGTCCTGTTTTAGTCCTGGTTTAGTCTTCATTTAGTCCTTGTTTCATTCCTGGTTCAGTCCTGGTTCAGTCCTGGTTCAGTCCTGGTTTGTTTCTGGTTTCAGGACGAGGTTCTGGTCCGTCTCTGGAGGTTGTATCTGCAGAAGAGTCGTCAGGCGTACACCTACAGGCCCGTGTGCAGCGCCTCCTTCAGGATGGCCTCTGTAATTACACTCACTTTAATGCACATTTATTCTGTTTCATTCACACACGTTTAACACTCAAACCCTGCACATTTACAGTTCTGAGTTCTTCTCTCAAACAGAAAACACTCTGTTCCACCTTGTGATGTCATCATGTGGTGATACAGGAAGTGCTCCACTGTGTTTTTAAACTCCACACACCTTCACTACCTTCACATTTGGATCATTTCAGCCGCTGGAGTCGCCGATTTCTACTGAACTAAACATAAAAACGGGCTGTTCACTTGAAAACTACCACTTCATGACATCACAAGGTGGAACTTTGGAAATGTAGACAGACTAATAATAAAAAAGTTACTCAAACATGTGAATTAAACAAAACGCAACTCCAGCGTAAAGGGGCTGGATTACGGAAAAAGTCATTATCACGATTATTTTGGTCAATATTGAAATCACGATTATTCAAACTATTATTTTTTTAGTTAAACGATGTATTTATTCAGCATTTCTCTCTCAAAAAAACCCCACAAACTTTCAAACTGAAAATAAATTCAGGCTGCAAATATGAACCTTAGAGCAGTGAACATGAATGTATCTAAAATAAACTGTACATCCAGCTGTTCTACAAGCTCTATATAAAAAAAATAAAATAAATATACTTATTTATATCCAAAATATCCCAAAATAAACTAGGACTTTAGAACCGTGTCCTGCTCAAACACGACTGAACGGAACTGAGCCACAGCCCGACGACGTCATCACGCGGCGCTGTTTGTTTACACGTGGCAGCAGAGTGTTTTATGTTTTAGAGGAGAAAATAAGTCCAGCGGCAGAAACATGTGTTAAATAGTGAGACAGATGTGAGTCCTGCTGCAAAACTCTCCTCTGAGTTTATGGAGATGATCAGAACCGTAACTCCACATCACTCACAGAGCACAGGGCTACGGAAGCCGAGAGGGTCACAACAAACGCAAACGCCGCAACAAATACAAATGCAACAACACGACAAAAAGCCACAACACGACAAAAAGCCACAACACACCAAAAAAAACCACAACGGAAATGACCACGGGACTCTATTTTAATGCAAACGCCGCAACAAATACAAACGCCACAACACATCAAAAAGCCACAACACATCAAAAAGCCACAACACATCAAAAAGCCACAACACAAAAAAAAAGCCACAACACATTAAAAAAACAAAGCCACAACACATCAAAAAGCCACAACACATCGCCACAACACACTCAAAAAGCCACAACACATGTGGTCACTTCTGTTGTGGCTTTTTAATGTGTTGCGGCATTTGCGTTTGTGTTGTGGCATTTGCATTCAAATAGAGTCCCGCGGTCATTTCCGTTGTGGCTTTTTTTGGTGTGTTGTGGCTTTTGCGTTTGTGTCGTCGCATTTGTATTTGTTGCGGCGTTTGCGTTTGTTGTGGCCCCTCTCGGCTTCCTTATAGGGCACCACGTGAATCCTCATAAAACTACGGTCGTCGTGCCTCAGTTATCACTTTCGCCGGCACATAATAGTTTCAACTCGATTTTATGAGTTTGGAGGTCGTTTGACACACAAATCGAAATCACGACTTAACTCCAGATCTGTTTTTGAGGAGGGAGCAACATTCGAACATGACCTAAAGCTCACAGGAGTCACTTTTACGTGATATTGGACCTTTTAAGTTAAATTCTTTTTTCTGGTTCTGTTTGTTCCTCTGAGTCAGGCCAGCTCGGACTCAGAGGGCGGTCCGGACTCAGGATCTGGTCTGGACTCGGTGTCAGGTCTGGACTCTGGGTCTGAACTGGACTGCAGGTCCGTAGCGGGATCTCAGATCTACAGCCAGGACTCTGACGGGTCTCAGGTCAGCGCAGTCGGGTCAACGGCCTCTGGCAGGGGTAAGAGCACACGGGAGGGCACCTGACACACACGGGGAGGGCACCTGACGCACGGGGAGGGCACCTGACACACACGGGGAGGCACCTGACGCACGGGGAGGGCACCTGACGCACGGGGAGGGCACCTGACGCACGGGGAGGGCATCTGACACACGGGGAGGGCATCTGACACACACGGGGAGGGACATGTTACGGTGTTTGGAGGAAATGTTGTGCCCCTAACTCTCTGATTGATTCGTTTGGGTTCTGAAGCTCTCTGATTGGTCCGTTTGTGTTCTGAAGCTCTCTGATTGGTCCAATTGTGTTCTGGACTCTCTGATTGGTCCATTTGAGTTCTGGACCTCTCTGTTTGGTCTGTTTGTGTCCTCGAGCTCTCTGATTGGTCCGTATTTATTCTAGAGCTCTCTGATTGGTCGGTTTGTGTTTTCCAGCGCTCTGATTGGTCGGTTTGTATTTTCCAGCGCTCTCTGATTGGTCGGTTTATTTTTTAGAGCTCTCTGATTGGTCCATTTGAGTTCTGGACCTCTCTGATTGCTCCGTTTGTGTTCTAAAGCTCTCTGATTGGTCGGTTTGTATTTTCCAGCGCCCTCTGATTGGTCGGTGGGCTCGTTGGACAGCGAGGCGTTCGTGTCTCAGTCGGGGAGGAGGAGGAGGGGGCAGATGTCCATGAAAAAGACTCTGGCTCTGCTCTACGTGGCTCTGGTCTGGAGTCGACAGCAGCTCACGCTCACCGACCTGCTGAGGTAAAGACACACACACACAAACACACACACACACAAACACACACGAGCGCTCGCCTTTCCACAGCTCTCACTCGGGACAGAACTCTACTTTACATTTTAAAGAGGAGGTGTGTGACTTCTCTGGGGTTTTAATGTCACATATTTAGATCACCTAATTCCTTTTATTGTTTTGAAAATACTATATTCAACCCTTTGCTCCCTGTGCTGAGTAGCTCCCCCTTCAGAGCACTATCACCGTACAATCAGCGTGCGTCCCGATAATAAAAATACTGCACATCACATCAGGTTTGTCAAGTCGCTGTGTACAGTTTTGCATTATTATTTTTATTTTTATAATTATTATTTCAGTTTTTATAATAATTATTATTAGCATTTATTATTATTATTATTATTATTTATTTTTTTTAATGTATTTTTATTGGTTTTATTTATTTATTGCTATTCTTTGATTTTGCTCTTATTTTATTTTATTGGTTTTATTATTTTAAGACTAGTATGATTATTTATTTTATTTTGTATATTTATTTTATTATTGCTGTTATTATTATGTATTTGTGTAGGACTTTGGAAACTGTTTGTGAAATGTGCGACAGAAAAGTGGATTGGATTGGAGAGTTGTCGTGTGGGAGTATGTGGGACGTAGGCTTGTGGGCGGAGCCTCGTACAGACTCGTACTGCCGCGAACCGTAGAGGCCTGTTCATACTTCATAACAAGAAAGTTTGTTTGGGCTCCGACATTTCGTACTTCAAAAGATGTTCTACTGGCGAACTGCCCCGCCCCCTCGCTCTAGCTCCGCCCCCCTCACTCTATACTGAGGGTGTTTCTTTTGTTTTTCTCCAGCCCGACCGCTTTTTTTTGTGTGTGTGACTTCTGCAAACTTGTCACCGAGGTTACACGATTATTACTTTTTTTTTACACCGCTTTTCGTCCGAGCCTAAATTGTTTACGATCTCCATCCGTGATTTTCTTGCCACGTGGCGTCTTTATCGTCATCGAGCGTCGTGTCGTACAGATGTTTGTATTGTCTCAACTCAACTTTTTTTTTTTTTTTTTCCTTGCTCCGCACTGGCGAGGAAACGGATAAACCACGCCCACATAAACAACCAATCAGAGCCAAGATGTGGGACGAAGTTGTGCTCAGTTGAGGCGTCAAGAACAAACCACAAGAACCAACCGGAGCTGGACCAACAAAACGACGACATTTTGATCATCCAGCTCTGGGTGCAAAAACAAAGTTCTTATGAAGTATGAATAGACTTTTAGGAGGGATTGAATAAGGCCTAGAGAGATCACTAAATGATTCAGACATGTATTTATGACTCGAAAACATCTTCAGGCGGGTTTTTGATGAGGAACAACGTTAGAACATGAGAGAAATATCCAGAAAATCACTTTAACAGAACACCTCGTCTTAAAGTTTGTTTCTGTTTCTGGTTTCTCATTTGTTTTTGTTTTTTTTTGCTTTTTCTTTCTGTTTTTCTGTTTTGTTTTTCTTCAGTCTGGTGGAGCAGGGCCTGGTGCCGTACCTCAACGCCTACGAATGTTTCCCCGAAGAAATGAAACTCAACAACAGAGACGGCCTCATCTTCAGAGTCCTGGTCTGAGCCGCGAGAGTCCTGATTTAGTCCTGGTTTAGTCCTGGTTTAGACCTGGTTTAGACCTGCTTTAGTCCCTATTTGGTCCTGCTTTAGTTCTGCTCTAGTACTTGGCGTAGTCCAGCTTTAGATCTGGTTTAGTCCCTGATTTAGTTCTGGTTTACTCTTGGTTTTGTCCTGGTTTAGACCTGGTCTAGTTCCTTGTTTAGACCTGGTTTAGTCCTTGGTTTAGTCCTGGTTTTAGTCCTGGTTTAGACCTGGTTTAGTCCTTGGTTTAGTACTTGGTTTAGTCCTGGTTTAGTCCTTGGTTTAGACCTGGTTTAGACCTGGTTTAGACCTGGTTTAGTCCTTGGTTTAGTCCTGGTTTAGTCCTGGTTTTGACCTGGTTTAGACCTGGTTTAGTCCTGGTTTAGACCTGGTTTAGACCTGGTTTAGTCCTTGGTTTTAGACCTGGTTTAGTCCTGGTTTAGACCTGGTTTAGACCTGGTTTAGACTTGGTTTAGACCTGGTTTAGACCTGGTTTAGTCCTGGTTTAGACCTGGTTTAGTCCTGGTTTAGACCTGGTTTAGACCTGGTTTAGTCCTTGGTTTAGACCTGGTTTAGTCCTGGTTTAGACCTGGTTTAGACCTGGTTTAGACTTGGTTTAGACCTGGTTTAGACCTGGTTTAGTCCTGGTTTAGTCCTGGTTTAGACCTGGTTTAGACCTGGTTTAGACCTTGGTTTAGACCTGTTTAGACCTGGTTTAGACCTGGTTTAGTCCTGGTTTAGACCTGGTTTAGTCCTGGGTTTAGACCTGGTTTAGACCTGGTTTAGACCTGGTTTAGTCCTTGGTTTAGTCCTTGGTTTAGTCCTTGGTTTAGACCTGGTTTAGACCTGGTTTAGACCTGGTTTAGACCTGGTTTAGTCCTTGGTTTAGTCCTTGGTTTAGACCTGGTTTAGTCCTTGGTTTAGACCTGGTTTAGACCTGGTTTAGACCTGGTTTTGACCTGGTTTAGACCTGGTTTAGTCCTGGTTTAGACCTGGTTTAGTCCTGGTTTAGACCTGGTTTAGACCTGGTTTAGTCCTGGTTTAGTCCTTGGTTTAGACCTGGTTTAGACCTGGTTTAGACCTGGTTTACCTGGTTTAGACTGGTTTAGCTGGTTTAGACCTGGTTTAGACCTGGTTTAGACCTGGTTTAGACCTGGTTTAGTCCTTGGTTTAGACCTGGTTTAGACCTGGTTTAGACCTGGTTTAGACCTGGTTTAGTCCTTGGTTTAGACCTGGTTTAGTCCTTGGTTTAGACCTGGTTTAGACCTGGTTTAGACCTGGTTTTGTCCTGATCTCTTTTCAGTCCATCCCGTCTTACTCTGTGATTCACTCCGAGTCCAAAAAACTGGTCAGTTTCCTTCAGCTTCCAGCTTTTCCTCCGATCACCTCCCAGAGTCTCCTGCACCCGCTGAACCTGAGCCGCAGATACATGACGGAGCTCAACCTGCCAGGTACGACCCTCTGACCCTCTGACCCCCTCTGACCCTCCTCTGACCCTCCTCTGACCCTCCTCTGACCCTCCTCTGACCCTCTGACCCTCCTCTGACCCTCCTCTGACCCTCCGACCCTCCAACCCTCCTCTGACCCTCCTCTGCTCCTCCCTCCCTGACCCTCTGACCCTCCTCTGACCCTCCTCTGACCCTCCCTCCCTGACCCTCTGACCCTCTGACCCCTCCTCTGACCCTCCTCTGACCCTCCTCTGACCACCCTCCTCTGACCCTCCTCTGACCCTCTCTGACCCTCTGCTCTGACTCCTCTGACCCTCCTCTGACCCTCCTCTGACCCCCTCCTCTGACCCTCCTCTGACCCCTCTCCCTCTCTCTGACCCTCCTCTGACCCTCTCTGACCCTCCTCTGCTCCTCTGACCCTCTGACTCTGACCCTCCTCTGACCCTCTGATCCTCCTCTGACCCTCCTCTGACCCTCTGACCCCCTCTGACCCCCTCTGACCCCCTGCTCCTCTGACCCTCCCTCCGACCCTCCTCTGACCCTCCTCTGACCCTCTGACCTTCTCCTCTGACCCTCTGACCTTCTCCTCGTCTGTCGTTCTTCTTCTTCAGATGAAATGTCCAAGTGGGTGGAGTCGGTTCTGGACCAGGCCGACCTCATGACCTCCAGCTGTTTGACCTTTGACCCCAGTCGTCGTCCTAAGCCCCGCCTTCCTCATTACGAGCTGCTGGCCGCCGCCGCCATCGTCGTCGCCATGAAGCTCCTGTTCGGACTCGACGACAAAACCGAGTGGTACTTTTACTTTGGTTTAGTCCTGGTTCAGTTCTGGTTTAGACCTGGTTTAGACCTGGTTTAGTCCTGGTTTAGTCCTGGTTTAGTCCTGGTTTAGACCTGGTTTAGTCCTGGTTTAGTCCTGGTTTAGTCCTGGTTTAGACCTGGTTTAGTCTTAGTTTAGTCCTGGTTTAGTCCTGGTTTAGACCTGGTTTAGACCTGGTTTAGTCCTGGTTTAGTCTTAGTTTAGTCCTGGTTTAGTTCTGGTTTAGTCCTGGTTCAGTCCTGGTTTAGTCTTAGTTTAGTCCTGGTTTAGTTCTGGTTTAGACCTGGTTTAGTCTTAGTTTAGTCCTGGTTTAGTCTTAGTTTAGTCCTGGTTTAGTCCTGGTTCAGTCCTGGTTTAGTCTTAGTTTAGTCCTGGTTTAGTTCTGGTTTAGTCCTGGTTTAGTCCTGGTTTAGACCTGGTTTAGACCTGGTTTAGTTCTGGTTTAGTCCTGGTTTAGACCTGGTTTAGTCCTGGTTTAGTCCTAGTTTAGTCCTGGTTTAATCCTGGTTTAGTTCTGGTTTAGTCCCGGTTTAATCCTGGTTTAGTTCTGGTTTAGTCCTGGTTTAGTTCTGGTTTAGTCCTGGTTTAGTTCTGGTTTAGTCCTGGTTTAGTCCTGGTTTAGTCCTGGTTTAGTCCTGGTTTAGTCCTGGTTTAGTCCTGGTTTAGTTCTGGTTTAGTTCTGGTTTAGTCCCTTTTTAATCCTGGTTTAGTTCTGGTTTAGTCCTGGTTTAGACCTGGTTTAGTCCTGGTTTAGTCCTGGTTTAGTCCTGGTTTAGTCCTGGTTCAGTCCTGGTTTAGTCTTAGTTTAGTCCTGGTTTAGTTCTGGTTTAATCCTCTTGTATAATCTTCTCTTTGTTTCAGGGAGTTGTCTTCTGAAGCCTCCTCAGATGAATCAGGTCTGATTTATATATTTTTTTAAATATTTATACCAAACATTTTTTTAAAATTTTATATTTAAATGTATATGAAATGTTTCAGGAGACGTGTTCAGTGTGAGGAGGTGGTATCGTCTGCTGCAGGCGGCTCTGCTCCGGAGCCACAGGAGGAGACTCCACCTCAAAGCCCAGTCAGTCCTGATTCAGTCCTGATTCAGTCCTGATTCAGTCCTCATGTAGTCCTGCTTTATAGTCCTGGTTTAGTTCTGATTCAGTCCTGTTTTAGTCCTGTTTTAGTCCTGGTTTAGTCCTGATTCAGTCCTGTTTTAGTCCTGGTTTAGTCCTGGCTTAGTCCTGATTCAGTCCTTGTTTAGTCCTGATTCAGTCCTTGTTTAGTCCTGGTTTAGTCCTGGTTTAGTCCTGATTCAGTCCTTGTTTAGTCCCGGTTTAGTCCTGGTTTAGTCCTGGTTCACTTTTGTCACTCTGACTTAATCTTTTCTAATTGTTTTGTTCACAGGAAGCAGTGGGTCCCAAAGAATCCGTTTTATTTCACTCATAAAGAAAAGATCGTGGCTCTGAAACGCAGACGTGAGTTTAGAAACACTGATCACTAATCAATACTAAAAAGACCTGGTTTAGACCTTGGTTTAATCCTGCTTTTTAGTCCTGTTTTAGTCCTGTTTTAGTCCAGGACGAGCGAGTCTCACGCTCTGCTCTCATTGGTCGTTTCAGGAGTGTCCGTGCAGCTCACTTCCTGTTTCAAACGCCTCTCGTCCGATCGTGACAGCGACACCCACAGGTGAGAACGAGACACTGACACATTATTTTATTATTTATCTGACACATTATTTTATTATTTATCTGACTTATTATTTTATTATTTATCTGACTTTTTTTTTTTATCTAACACATATTATTTTTTTATCTCACATATATATATATTTTTTTATCTCACATATATATATTTTTTTTTATCTCACATATATATATATATATATATTTTTTTATCTCACATATATTATTTTTTATTTCACATATATATATTTTTTTATCTCACGTATATTATTTTTTATTACATATATTATTTTTTTATCTCACATATATATATATTTTTTTATATTTTCACATATATTATTATTTTTTTTATCTCACATATATATATATATATTTATTATCTTTTATCTCATATATTATTTTTTAAAAATCTCACATATATATATATTTTTTTATCTCACATATATATATATTTTTTTCTCACATATACTATTTTTTATTTCACATATATTTATTTTTTTTTTATCTCACATATATTATTTTTTATCTTACTTATATATATTATTTTTTTTATCTCACATATATAATTTTTTTATCTCACATATATTTTTTTTTATCTCACATATATAGTTTTTTTTATCTCACATATATATATATATATATTTTTTTTTTTCTCACATATACTATTTTTTATTTCACATATATATATTTTTTTGATCTCACATATATTATTTTTTATCTTACATATATTATTTTTTTATCTCACATATATATTTTTTTTAATCTCACATATATATTTTTTATTTCACATATATATATATATATATTTTTTTTGATCTCACATATATTATTTTTTATCTTACATATATTATTTTTTTTATCTCACATACATTATTTTTTTATCTCACATATTTTTTTATTTATTTAAAATCAGGTTTGCGTCTCTTCAGGCTCCAGACTGAACGTGGATTTATTCTGTAAAAAACACACAGGGACATAAAACCCCCGGAGACTTTTGTTGTTGTTGTTGTTACTTTTGTTGCGTTTGTTTTGTTTTTCAGTGCGGCTCAGAGGGGCGGGGCCTGCACCTCTCACTTCCTGTGGGGGCGGGGTCTTGATGCGGATGGGCGGAGCATGCGTCACATGACCCTGAAGGGCGGGGCCAGGATCTCAGCGGCCAGTCAGCTTTCAGACGAGAGCTACTGGCACGCCCCCTTCACGGACTGTCGGTAAGTCCTGGTTTAGACCTGGTTTAGACCTGGTTTAGACCTGCTTTAAACCTGCTTTAGTCCGAGTCTTAATTCCGTTCTGGTCTCTGGTTTAACCCTGGTGCAAAACTAGTCCAGTCCCAGTCTAACCTTGGTCTAACCCTGTTTCTGGTTCCTTGTCTGGACTCTCTTCTAACCCTGGTCCGGTCTCTAGTCTCTGGTCTCTGGCCTTTGGTCTGTGGTCTGGTCTGTGGTCTCTGGTCTGTGGTCTTTGGTCTGGTCTTTGGTCTAACCCCGGTCTCTGGTCTCTGTCCCAGGAGGCACCTGTGGTCTCTCCGGGCCGACGTTCCTCGGATGTTCCTCTGGCTCCTCGACCTTTTCTGCTTCGTGCTCCAGCTGAAGTGGGACGTTTTGTTTCAGGCCGTGTCGACGTTGGAGCGAATCCTTTTCAAAAGCCAAAACCCACGGAGCCGGAAAAATCTCAAACGACGACAGAAAAACACAGAAACGCGGGAAAGCCCTGAAAAACCAAAAAGCCCCGAAACACGAAAAACCCCGGAAAGACGGAAAAATCCCACACGACTGAAAAGCCCCGAAACACCGACAAAGAGACTCTTGAGACGCTGCAGGGCCGAGCGTGAAGAGGGAACGCTCTGAATATTCCACGGATACACGGACTTTTCAAACTTTTCTGGGAATAAAGAATGTAAAGATTTTTAATTTTATTTATTTTTTTAATTTACGGTCGTACAAATGAATAATAATGTTTATGACGGCGCAAAAGTTTATTGTTTTATGATCGAACAAAATAAACCTCAATGACAATGAAAAAAATGTTAAGGATTTTTAAATTTTCTTACTAACTACTTACGAACTAATAATGATGATAAAGACGGCACAAAATTTTATTGTTTCTGATCATATCAAAATAAAAATTCATGTTAAAATGTAAAATAAAATCATGTTTTTAGTTCACGGTCGTGTTTTATTTGTGAGGACTGTGGATCTTCGAGGTATTTCCGTAAGATTTTATTTTTCTGTTGTTTTTTGAAGTTAGTAGAAGCTTTGATATGTTCGTCTAAACTCTTCCATAAATCTGCTCCACGTCTGTAACAGATTTTACTTTTGAAAGTTGTTCCAGAGAATTGTTTTTTAGAATTCATTTGACGCTCAGGTTGTGTTTGGATTCTGGGAGCTACAGATGAACACAGCTGCAAGGAAAACTATGTGGGATGACTTGGATTTCTGCATAAGTTGGGCATGAGGCTTTGACGTTGATGTCCTCCACGGTGTCCTTCCATAAACTCCATTATTGTTTTTTTTATTCTAGATCTGTCAACAAAAATGTGTGTTTGCAAGTCTTTATCTGAAACTCCTGGATTCCTCCTCACCTCATTGAACGTTCTGCTCTGTGCTCTTGCTGTCGACTTTACAGGACGACCGCGCCACAGGGAGCAGCAGCAGTGTTAGACTTTCTCTATTTGTAGACGGTCTGCGTTACTGTAGACCCGTCAACGCCTCAGACCCGTGAACATCGAGACTTTCAGAAACACTTTTGTGTCCCTTTCCAGCTTCTTCTTGAGAACAACTTTCTCAAAAGTCGTGTGAGTTTTTCTAGGGCAGCGCAGCTTTAACCAACACCTGCAAACTCATCACATTCACTGGACTCCAGGTCGGCGGAGCCCGGGCTCCCAGCAGCTCTTGGAGAAGTCATTAGACTAGAGCACAGGTGTCAAACATACAGCCCGGGGGCCAGATCCGGCCCTCCAAGACCTTTAATGTGGCCCTCGGCTGATTTTCTACTAAAATATTTTAATTATATTTCTTATTAAAATAATTTGTAATTGGTAATTTTCTGTGGTGTTTATCACAGCAGCGTCTCCAGCGTCTCTGTACGTGGCCCCTCCCACCAGAGCAGCACAAATGAAGACTTGTCTCTTTCCAAACGCTCTTAAAGGACGATCGTTTTGACTGTTGACCGTGACACCCTCATCAGAAAAATGTCCAACATGAGAAAAGTGGAGCCGAGTGCAGGATTTTACAACAAAAATGGACTTATTCCTGTTTACAGACAAGTTCATGTTAAAACTTTGTGTTGAAATTTTATTTTTCGTAAAGTTTCAGGTTGTTCATAATATTATAATATTTTGTAAAAAAAAAAAAGTTCATCAATTAAAAAAGATTTCTGTAATAGATTTGTGTTTCTCTGCACAAATATTTGAACTTATTGTTATTTTTGGGGTTTATATGACATGAGTTTTCTGATCCAGACACTTTGGATCAAAGTCGGTTGGATTCGGCCCCCGGACCAAAATGAGTTTGACTCTCCTGGACTAGAGGATCAAGTGCTTTTTCCACCCTGCACTGTGAGCTTTTACGTGTTGTATTCAATGAAAAATTTAAAACATAATTTTTGTGCAGTATTAGTTAAAGCAGAATGTGTTTGTCAATTTTTGTGACATGAAGATCAGGAGACATTTTATCCCCAATTTATGCAGAAATAAAGTAATCCCAAAGGGTTCATACTTTTTCTTGTAATTGTAACAAAGGACCAAACATTTTCAATGAAATATGAATATATATTAATAATTACAATTTTGAAATAGCTCATTGTCATTAAAATAAGACTCTAAAGCTCACGCTGGTGATGATTAAAACTAGATCATTTATAATTAAGTTTATAAATCCTTTAAATCATAACTGAACAGATATTTTAGTTTAAATAAGACAGAAAATTAACGATTGAACGGTTTTGTTTAAACTCCCTCTGGTGGTCAAACTGATAGAATGACAAGTGCGTTTATGGTTTTGTGCAGTTCATGATTTTAACCACTTGAGGCGCCAAAAACAACTTTCATCACAAATCAGTCACGTTTTACCAAATCTTAACATTTTCAACTGTAAAACTCTAAAAATGTAGATCAGTTGTTCAAAAATAATTAAATAACAAATTAAAATAATGAAATAACTCAGTTTATCATGACGCTCACAGTCAGAATCTCTGTTTTAAAGGTATTTTTGAGCTTTAAAACCACCTGCAATTGAGTAAATGTAAAGTTGAGCTGTTTAATGCCACACCGCGGAACATTCCAGACAGAGCAGTGACTTTTATGTATCGATACTAGGTTTAGGATCTAATTTCCGATACTTTCGACAGCCCTAATCTCCAGTGCAGCAATAAACGAAGAAAAAAAAACGTGAATGAAAAGCGTCCAAACGTTTGACGGGTCAGGAACGAGATCACACGTTTTCAAAGATTCTTTTTGGAGTTTTATGTTCTTCTGGAGTTTGGACGTTAGATTAAAGCTGCACTGTCACTTTTGTGGTGTAGGATCTGGCCGTGTGCTTGGTGACATCAAACTGAAAAAATGTTTTAGACCTTTTAAAAACACGGATTCTTACTGTAAGCAGGGACGCCTCTCCACAGAACTGACCACTGCAAACACTCGCTGGTCCCAATAAATACTGCTTTTCCCTAAATCTTTCACAGTAACAGATAATAAAGTGTCATTAACTCAGAAAAGTTAGTTATGTTGAAGTTGAAATCTGGAGCTTTTATTTTAAAGAAACTGCAGTGAAACGCCTCCTGCTGGTTTAAAAACGACATGACACTCACACTGGAATGAAAAAGTGAAGCCGTATAAAAACATCTGAGAACTGTTCAGGGTTGAATCTTGTACTTTGAGTTTTTTTTACACAAACAAAAGTGAAACAGAAAAGTGGAGTCATGAGTTTTTTATTGTTCTTTTGAACAGAACACAAATAAATATTGATCCCATGAACGTAAACAAGTGAAGTCTGAATCATATACAGCCAAAAGACGAACGGAACTGGACCGGGACCAGGACCGGACTCTGGACTGAGGAGGAGCCGGTCTGGGCCGGGTCCAAACTGTGTCTGGTCTAAACCTGGACTAAACCAGGGGCTATTCTTTCTTCTGAGGGAAAGCGGCCGTCACCAGCTCGTACACCACGTAACCCGCACCTGCAGAGAAAAAAACAAAAAACAACCAAAAAAAACTGTTTAAACAGACGAACCGAGACTAAACATCTGCATCCGACCAAAGCGTTCAGCCTAAAACTCTGAACTCTGTTAACGTTTCTACAAATAAACTCAGTGTCCGAGCTCAGAGCTGCATCAGAGCGTTGTGACGGCGCCCCCTGGAGTTTAACAGAGTCACTCACCCATCACTGTGAGCACCATCGTGGTCCTGTAGAGCAGAGAGTCGGAGCTGCCGCCCTTTAAATGCACCGGCATCCCGTTGTCCTCCTGAAACAAAATACACGTGAGTAAAAAAGTGCAGACGCGAGTAAAAAGTGGCCACAGGAGCTCACACATCACAGTATTTTAGAACAACAAGACACCGATTTATAAAACTGGGCATATAAACTGTAAATAAGCAGAAGACGAGTCGACAGCTGCAGCTGCTCTGGTTTAAACTTTTACACACACGAGATTTTACAGATTCCTGAACTCAAAAACATCACAAACATAAAACTGAACATCGTAAAACCAGAGCAGGTCCTCGGTTTAGTTCTGAAACTCAAACTCTCCTCAGGCTTTACTCTGGTTTAAAATCAGACGAAGACGGAAAAGAAAATGTAAATGATTAACACAAAGAAACACCAGCGGAATTTGAATAAAAACTCTTCAGGTTTTTGTGTTGAGCCAAAATAAAAACCTGCCGTGTGTTGCTCAAAACTCAGCATCTTCTTTTCCTTCAAGTGAAATGAAGTCAGATTTTCTTTTCTCGATGCTTAAAATATAAACTAGAGACGGGCATTTGATGAAATTGTCTTAATCGATCGTCGGAAGAATTAATGATCAATTATCGATTAATCATCAATGTTTTTATATTAAAATGATCATCATTATTATTACTATCTGCACTAATCTGCATCAATAAATTCAACTTTACGACATATAAACATAACGACTCTAGATCCACATCAGCTGTTTGACATTATAATGTGTTTAATTCAGTTTTGTTCAAATCTCACAGAAACAAAACTTAAAACCACATCACTAATTTACATAAACTAAGTGAAGATAAAACTCCAGCTCTTGTGTCGCTGATGTGGTTCAACTTGTGTTGGATTAAAAGACATGACTCAGGTGAATACAGGTCAGTGTGACCAGATTTGTGTTTGTCAAAACCAGGACAGCGTACGGGGGGAGGGGGGCGGGGCCTCGTCATCCACATTGAGCGACTCTCACCTGGAAAAACTTTTTCCCACTGGACACAGAAACATATGTGCTGCTTTATCCACTGTGCACATGGACTCACACTTGTCCCAACGCAACGGAAAGTGTGGAATTTCTTCTACAAATCCTGGTTAAATCCACATTTGTGCTTCGGTTCGTTACAGACTGACCCACTGTTTGTGTCTCGCTCCTTCTGATGCAGAGACACATGTACACACCTGTTTGGTCACGACACACACACATACATTCAGTTTGTCCATTAAAATGAACGGAATCGATGAAATTCTTAATGATCGATTAATCGATTAATCATGCCCATCTCTAGTATAAACGCAGCTTTATTTCACGCTTTTACTTTGGCATTTAAACTGATAAACGATGCACGTGCAGCGAGGACGAGGACGTGGAGGTGGACGTGCGTCAGACGGAGCCGCTGGAATGTGAGAGCTTCGTTTCCACACAGTGTCAGGTTCATAAAGATAGAACTCATGTGACCCGAGCGTCTAAGATTAGTTTAATGTACAGACGCTGTGAGCTCCTGGAGATTAGAAGCTCATCTTTTAAACAAGGTTTTATATTATTACACTAAACTGACTCTTGTGAGATTTAAATGATGTTAGAAAATCGTTTTCTCGTCACAAACAGAACTGGACTTGAGTTTTGTTTCATTCGCACGTGTTTAAAAACTGAAACGCTGCAGATTTAGACAAGAATTCTTCTCAGAAAACACCGTTCCACCTTCCAACGTGAAAGTAAAACAATATTCATGTGCAAAAATAAAAGCAACAAATTAAGATTCTAGAGGATTAAGAGAGTAAAGCAGTTTAGTTTATTTTTTATTTATTTTATTTTTTTACCTGTTCAGCAAAAAATAAAATTCAGCCCAGAGGAAAATTTTACTAGAACAAATTGTCTCCAAAAGCAAAATGAGACAGTCCAAGTTTTCTGACAAATAATGAATTTTTTTTTTGTTTTTTCGTGTTATTTTGAAAAACAAATGAACAAATGATAGACAGATTGAAATAAATAATTATTTTCAATCTATTCACAACTTCTCCTGTAAAAAAGCCATTTCAATAACCAAGTCATAAAATATTTCACACACAGGTGGACGTCTCTTCTGCAAAATCATTTATAGACGCCTCTTTCATTTAGTTTCCTTTATTAGGTTTGATCTACTGTAATTTATATTATTTTATGTTTCCATTCTTGATTTTTCCACTATGTCATGAATGATTGTACGACGGAGTATAAGGGTCAGATAAAAAATAAAAACCATGCTGGCGCTACGAGAATAAAGTCGTAACATTTCGACATTAAAGTCGTAATATTATGAGAATAAAGTCGAAGTCAGAAAAAGTCTTAATTTTATGAGAATAAAGTCGTAGTCAAAATAAAGTGGTAATATTAGGAGAACATCGGCGGCTCGTGGAGAATTTGGAGCATTTTGTAAAGGAGAAGAATCCGTGTATCATTCGTTCATTCGACTGAACAAGGACTGAATCAGGAATAAACCAGGTCCGGAACCAAACCAGAAAGACCAGGATTGAGACCGGGACCAGACCAGGACTGAAAATGGTTTAGTCCTGGTTTAGTCCTGGTTTAAGTCACAGAAATGGGAAATGGCGTTTCTGTGACTTTAAAATGCGATGCAGGGACTATTGTGCTGCACATGACTGAACCGGGACTGAACCGGGACTGAACCGTTTTCAGTCCTGGTCTGTTCCCGGTCTCAATCCTGGTCTTAGTTCTTGTCTGATCCTGGTTTCAGTCTTGGTTCTGGACTCAGTCCTTGTCTAAGTCCTGGTCTCAGTCCCGGTCTGGTCTCGGACCTCGTTTAGTCCTGGTTCAGTCCTGGTTCAGTCCTGGTTCAGTCCTGGTTCAGTCCTGGTTCAGTCCTGGTTCAGTCCGGAGGCGCAAATAATGAAGAAAATTGTTGTTCGTTTTCTTATTTTTGGTTTTATATTGAAAAACAAAGTAGTTCTTCTGACGCATTTTTCACTTTGACTTTGATTTTATTACGACTTTATTCTCATAATATAACAACTTTATTTTAACTTCAACTTTATTCTCGTAAAATTACTTCGACTTTATTCTCATAATATTACGACTTTAATGTTGAAATGTTACGACTTTAATGTCATAGCGCCAGCATGTTTTTTATCTGACCCTTATACTCCGTTGTATGATTGTGAGTGTCTGCGTTATGTGTTTATACTGTAAATGTTGTGTAAATGTGTCATAAATAAATAAGTTTAGGCCCAAAAGTCGCAGTTAGCCCTAAAACCAAATGACATTTCAAGGTGGAACGGAGCATTTTGAGGTCTGGGGATGAAAACAGAATAATTCAGGATCGCACAAACACGTGTACGTGAAAAAAACACATCTGTGGTTTGTTTTTGAAGAGGTAAAAATGAGTTCGCGTTAATAAAACTGTTGGTGGTTTGACTCTGGGGTCATCGTCTCACAGTCACGTCCTCTGATGCAATAATCTCACTGACATGTTTTATTTCAACACGACAACGAAGCAATGGAACAATTTTAAAAGCATAAACTCATCACAGACCAGATACGTGTGATTTTTTTTTTACCTGGAAGAGTTTCTGTTTGTTCGGGACCGGGTTTCCTCGCCGCGCCGCGCTGCTGCTGATGCTCCGCCGAGCCACCGCCTGGAGCGCCTGAAAACACACAAAAACAGCACATTTACAGCGACATTCTGGACTAAACTCACCCGGACCAGGTCACGTCCTCCACACAAACGTCCCGAAAGGAATAAGAGTTAAAAACGAGAGGACGGAAGCGGCGTTAGCTCCCATGCTAAGCTAAATGCTAAGTGGCGGCTTTGGCTCTGACCCCGGTTCTAACTTTAGCTCATTTAAACCACATTTCCGGTGAGACTCGTTCAAAACGTTAAACTCACGGTGTGGCGCGTGTCTCCCGGTGTGATCGAAACGTGTTAAAAGTGAAATAAAAACAGAAACTCACCTGTACGTGTCTGAACATCGCGAACTGTCCTCAAAAGACTTCTGCACAAGGACACCGGAGAACTACACTTCCGCTTCAAAGATTAAAAACTACATTTCCGCTGTAAATGGACTACACTTCCGCTTAAAAAAAAAGTACACTTCCGCTTCACAAAACTACGACGGAGTATAAGGGTCAGATAAAAAAAAAAAACATGCTGGCGCTACGAGAATAAAATCGTAACATTTTGACATTAAAGTCGTAATATTATGAGAATAAAGTCGAAGCCATAAAAAGCCGTAATTTTACGAGAATAAAGTCGTAAACTTACAAGAATAAAGTAGTAATTTTATGAGAATAAAGTCGAAGTTAAAATAAAGTCATAATATTAGGAGAATCATCGGCTGCTCGGAAAGTCTGAACGAGTGGAGAATGGAGAATTTGGAGCATTTTGTAAAGGAGAAGAATCCGTGTATCATTCATTCATTCGACTGAACAAGGACTGAATCAGGACTGAACCAGGACTAAAATAGGACTAAAATAGGGCTGAACCAAAACTAAACCATTATTAAAGTAGAACTAAATCAGGACCAGACCAAGACTAAACCAGGACTAAACTCGAGACTAAATCAGGACTAAACCAGTACTAAACCAAGACTAAACCAGGACTGAACCAGGACTAAACCAGGACTGAACCAGGACTGAACCAGGACTTAACCAGACTAAACCGGAAACTTAACCAAGACTAAACCAAGACTAAATCAGGACTAAACCAGTACTAAACCAGACTAAACCAGGACTGAACCAGGACTAAACCAGGACTTAACCAGGACTAAACCAGGACTAAACCAGAACTTAACCAAGACTAACCACGACTAAACCAGGACTAAACCATGAGGGTGGCCAAATTTGTCTGTTAGTTTAAAAATAAAATAATATAAATTTGATTGTTGGACAGTTATTATTTCCACACAAAAAAAACTTATATTGTACACACATTTAAAGCTACAGTGTGTAACTTTCTGGAGGTGGCATCTCATGATTCTATGGAAGAAGAAAGTTAAAGCCAGACTTCGGAACATTCTCCATGAACATAGACACGTTTTGTACCAGACTGTGTAAGATTATCGTTAAAAGAAAAGTCATTTCCCTGGAAACAAAATGAAAACGAGACACAGGATTCTGACATATTTGACACTTTTAATATTTTCTTGTATTTTTGGTTGAATTCCACGTTTACATTTCAACACGACGTCATATCAAAACAACAATATTCACACACGTTTGTCACATGCAGCAGGTCCGTAAAACGTCACAGGTTTTTACAGCGGCGGAACGTGAAGCAAAAATAATAAAGTTCTGTTCAAAAGTAACAGTTTTAGATTTCTGTTCTTTTACTGAAAGATGAACTTCAGCTTCAGCCGGTCTCAAACTAAAATAAGAATACTTTTACTTTTCAGTCGACAATAGGACTGAACCAGGTTTAAACTAAGACTAAACCAGGTCTAAATTAGGACTAGACTTGGACTAAACCAGGTCTAGACTCGGACTAAACCAAGACTAGAAAACTATAATAAAAATACTTTTACTTTTCAGTCTATAATAGGACTGAACCAGGTCTAAATTAGATCTAGAACTAGGTCTAAACCAGGTCTAAACTAGTACTAAACCAAGACTAGACTAGGACTAAACCAGGTCTAGAAAACTATAATGAAAATACTTTCACTTTTGAGTCTACAATAGAACTGAACCAGGTCTAAACTAGGACTAAACCAGCTCTAGACTTGGACTAAACCAGGGCTAGGTTTGGACTAAATCAGGACTTATTTAGATCTAGAACTAGACTAAACTAGGTTTAAACTAGGACTTAACAGGACTAGTTTGGGACTAAAACAGGTCTAAATTAGATCTAGAACTACTAGACCAAACCAGGTCTCAACTAGGTCTAAACCAGGTCTAAACTAGGACTAAACCAGGGCTAGACTCAGACTGAACCAGGGCTAGGTTTGGACTAATTCAGGACTAAATTAGATCTAGAACAAGACTAAACCAGGTCTAAACTAGGGCTAAACCAGGGCTAGACTTGGACTAAACCAGGTCTAAACCAGGTCTAGACTCAGTGGTGGGCCGTCAGGGCCAGCAAGGCCTTCTCTGCTGGCCTAAACATGCTCAAGAAAAGTAAATTTATGTTATTTTATTTTCATAAATATGTAAACAAAATGATTCTCTATTCTCTGTATTCTTTACGTCATATTATTTCCACTTAGTCGAGTGGCTTCCAATAGTGTTTTTTATGGTAGAGTTTTTAACCAATTATATTTCAGCTAGCTTGTGTTGTCAAGTAAATTAAATTTGCTTGAGACCTTCAGAATAAACAGAGCAGGCCCCTGTGCACTGTAAGTGAACGGGCACAGTCAGGTTGCAATAGCCAATCAGATCTCGATTCTGCGTACCAAGGCTAGCTAGAAGGTCTTACGCTGAACTCGACCCGTGTGCGCGTTCGGTGATTGGATTAGCACTTGCTAGGGCCTGACAAGCGGCAATCTGGAGAATTGAAATAAACACGGAAATTCAAGAGCCAGCTGTATTTTTAACCCATAATGGCCGAAGGAGAAGACATTGATCTGGTTGCAGATCTACTTTCCACGCCATTTTCAAGACGGCCCTTTCAGGAAAAGTTGGATATCGTAAGAAGAGGTCGCTTAACCCCTGCGCTAGCTAGCACACTACCAACGTCTCCACACCAGCATTCTGGACAACATTCTTTCCCAGACACGGACTCGATTTCAGGACCACGAAAGGCTGATGTTTCTCTCCCTTCTCGACCCTCAGCACTTTCAGATATACAGGAAAAAATTTCCACAAAACAGCCTTCTCCAGCTTAACACAGAGCCACGGATCATTATTTGATCTTCCCCGACTTAAAACAGAACTGACTGTAATGTATGCCATGGTTGATTTTGAAGGGAGAAGTCCAGCTGATCTTCATGATTTTCTTCGGAGCAAAAATCTGAGTGAGAGTTTGGGACAACTTTACGCACTGGCCTGTTTGGCTGTTACTATCCCTGTATGCAGTGGATACAGGGATCTGTCGAGCGGTCATTTTCAACGTTAAAGCGTATTAAAACTTATGCCAGAAACACGACCGGACAGAAACGGCTTTCAGCATTAGCCTCCATGTCCATAGAAAAGGACTTACTGATGGACCTAAAACGCGCCGATAAACTGTACAACAGAGCCACTGAAGTGTTCTTGAGAAAAGAAAGGAGGCTCGACTTTATTTTCAAATAAGCAGACGCTGTTGAGAACTATGTTGGTGAGTAAATGCATTTTATTTTCAATTTCTTCTTGTCATTGCAATATTTTCAGTTATTTGCTGTTGTATAGCCTATTCTCAAAAATGCAAACGATCTCTTAACTTTATTTTCAAAGAATAGTTTGTTTTGTTATTGTCTGGTTGGTGTCTTATATGAAACGGCGACATTGCGCAATTTATTAGACAGACTTGTTTAAGATCACACAGCGTAATTTTGGTGGCATTTTGTTTAGTATTTTTAAATCACCTTTTTATTTTTGACAATATCTGTGAACTTAGTTTCCTAATCTTAATTGTGAATGCATACTTGATGGTTTTAAATGCTCCTGAAATAAAGTGCTGCTTGACTAGCCTATATTGAGGTGAAGTTAATGTATGGGGCGTCACTGAAGGCCTAAGGTTGAAATGCACGGCCCGCCACTGCTTTCTTAATGAAAATACTTTTTGAAAGTCGACAATAGGACTGAACCAGGTCTAAACTAGGACTAAACCAGGTCTAAATTAGATCTAGAACTAAACTAAACCAGGTCTAAACTAGGACTAAACCAAGACTAAAAAACTATAATGAAAATACTTTTACTTTTCAGTCCTGTTCAGAAACATAAGTTTAGTATTATCGTTTTCAAGTCCTGGTTTAGTCCTAGTTTAGACCTGATTTAGTCGTATTGTAGACTTCCTTTAGTCTAGTTAATTTAGTCCTGGTTTAGTCCAAGTCTAGCCCTGGTTTAGTCCTAGTTCTGGATCTAATTTAGACCTGTTTAAGTCCAAGTCAAGTCCCGTTTAGTTCTAGTTTAGACCTGGTTTAGTCCTATTGTAGACCTGCTTTAGTCTACTTACTTTAGTTCTGTTTTAGTCCAAACCTAGTCCCAGCTTAGTCCAAGTCTAGACCTGGTTTAGTCTCGTTCTAGATCTAATTTAAACCTGTTTTAGTCCAAGTCTAGTCCGGTTTAGTTCTAGTTTCGACCTGGTTCAATCCTTTTGTAGACTCGTTTTAGACTAGTTATAGTCTTAATTCAGACCCGGTTTAGTCCGAGTCTAGACCCGATGGGTTTTAAGCAAATAAAATTAAAAATAAGAAAATAAAAACGGGTTCAAGTCTTTATCAAAATTAATACTTTTGAAACTTTATAAAACCTCAAAACGTGTCCAGAATACTTTTACTTTTGCCTCTTTCAGTCCATGTTTAAACAAATATTTTAATACTTTTACTTGAGTAGATTTTGAGTTTATTTTGCTGCTTAAATGGAGCCGTTCTTGTTCCACCGCTGCGAGTTTGAGCGTTGATGCTGCATTTACACAAAAAAAAAAAAATAAAAAACAAAACAAAAAAAAAGCACATTTTCTAAAGTAAAATCGCCCTGAGGAGGAGGAGGCGCGTGCAAAAACTGGCGAAGCTTAAACGTTTCCAAATGGACTCGAAGCGCGAAACGACATTTAAAAAGCTCAAGTGAAAGTCAGTGCATTTGTTAAAGCGTCAGTGTTTTGTGCAATAATAAAAAAAATAATAAAATAAAATAAAAAATAGGCACAAAATCCAGCCATTAAAAAAAAAAAAAAAAAAAACAGCTCTGGACAATTGAATTTCTCTCATGCACCAGAAAAACAAAACAGTTTATTTACAAAAAACTTTTCCTTATTCCAGTTTCTCTTGAAGTGCGCATGATCAAGAAGAAAAAACAAATTAAAAACTGAAATAAAAATTTAAATAAGCCAAAAACAAAAACAAAAAAACAAAAAAATCGTCAAATTGGGGCAAAAAAATCTTAAATCCTTGTAACTTTTTTATCTCAGGGTCAGTTTTTTTTAAGCTTTTCTCCGTGGAAATGTTATTCCTTTGTCTGGAAAGTTCCACAATATGACTTTAAACCTTTCTGTCGTCACGGAGACCAAACCGGACCAAGTTCCAGGTCAGATCTGCGGAGAGGCGACCCCCGCTCACCAGTCAGAATTCGTGTTTTTTTTCCTCTGTACTGTTGAGCTCTAAAACCTCCTGTGACGGAATAAATGTAAAGTGGAGCTGTTTAAAGTCACACTGCGGAACATTCCGGGCAGAGCAGCGACGTATCCACGGAAACCAGCAGGTGAAAAGTTACACAGTGCAGTTTTATAGACGTGATAGTGTTTCAGTGACGTGAGGTCGGACCTGTCGTCGGAGGCACTTGAAGCGGGACGTCGCCAAATTAGAATTTTTATTTTACTCTCTGGATTTTAACACCGCGTGAGTCTTTTTATTTCATTTTGTTTAATTGTTTTTATTTGATTTTAATCATTTTTAAGAATTTTTTTAGCTTCATGCATTTTAAGACTTTTTATTTATTGTTTTTATTTATGATTTATTGTCTTTTATTGTTTTAATTTGTCTGAACAGCTCTTTGGAAACTCTGCTATAGAAATAAAGTGGATTGAACTTTTTCACAGTTGTCAGAAATGTCTCGCTGTAGGTTTGTGGAACTTCTGGTTAATGTTTTTCTGTGTAAATGTGTGTGTAAATGTGTGTGTAAATGTGTGTGTAAATGTGTGTGTAAATGTGATGTGTGTCTGGAGATGTCGAATATTTAAACTGCACAAATTTGTTTATCTATTCTAATATCGACATCATGAAATCAATTTTTTATTTTAATTGTAGAATCAGTCTGAGTGAATAAGCTGAAGTTGGTTGAAGATTTGGTGATGGGGCAGATTTAAGAAACTGGTGGAGAATATGACATTTACACACACATTTACACACACATTTACACACACACATTTACACACACATTTACACACACATTTAGACACAGAAAACCATTAACTGGTTTATTTATAATCCGTGTGTCATTTCTTCATTTGTTTTTCAATATAAAACCAAAAATAAGAAAACGAAAAACAACAGTTTTCTTCATTTTTTGTCTCCAAAACCAAAATGAAAAAACAGATAATAATTTGTTTTTTTCAGTTTTTCGATTTTGTGTTTAAATGAAAAATGGAAAAAAACTGATAACGACTGTTTCCCGTTGATGTGACTTCAGTGACTGCGATGCTGAAGTGAACCAGGACTGATCCAGGTCCGGGACCAGACCGGATTCCGAGCAGTGACTATGAGCCTCAGCTTCGAGCTCCAACCCTGCCATGGGCTCTGAGCCTCCGGTCTGGTCCCGGTTTCAGTTCTGATCTCAGTCTCCGTCTGGTCCCTGTCTGGTCCCAGTCTTGGTCTGGTCTCGGTCTGGTTCTGATCTCAGTCTCTGTCTGGTCTGGTTCTGATCTCAGTCTCCGTCTGGTCTCTGGTCTCGTCTGGTCTGGTCCCAGTCTTGTCTGGTCCGGTCTGGTTCTGATCTCAGTCTCGTCTGTCCCGGTCTGGTCCCGGTCTGGTCCCAGTCTGGTCTGGTCCGTCTGGTCGGGTCCCTGGTCTGGTCCAGTCTGGTCTGGTCTGGTCTGATCTCAGTCTCCCGGTCTGGTCCCGGTCTGGTCCCAGTCTTGGTCTGGTCCCGGTCTGGTTCTGATCTCAGTCTCCGTCTGGTCCCGGTCTGGTCCCGGTCTGGTCCCAGTCTTGGTCTGGTCCCGGTCTGGTTCTGATCTCAGTCTCGGTCTGGTCCCGGTCTGGTCCCATCCGTATTCGGTGCAAAAGTCCGTCATCGCAGCCGTGGGAGTCACGTAAACGGGAAACGGTCGAGATCCGTTTTTTCCATTTTTTGTTTAAACACAAAAAAATGAATCATTATCTTTTTTTTTCATTTTGGTTTTGGAGACAAATAATGAAGAAAATCGTTGTTTTTTTCATTTTATTATTTTTAGTTTTATATTGAAAAACAAATGAACGAACGACACAGGGATTATTTATTTATATTTTGTGCCTGCACTGACATTATTACTAGTTCTGTATGTTAACGTTTACGCAGTGACAGTGACAGTCACAGGGGGGCGCTCTACACTATTATACACTTTTTAACCTACTGTGCAGCTGTGGTGATGCTCTAACGTCATTTTGTTGTGATTTTATGTGACAATGACAATAGAGGAGTTGAACAGAACTGAATCAGAAGTTCCACAAACCTAAAGCGCGGCACTTCTGGGCAAATGCGAAAAAGATGAATTGAACTGGATTATCTGTATTTTTACGTGAACATTATCAGTCGAAGTTTGGACTCACGTGTCAGTGTTTCATCTCTGTGTTTACTCCTTTATATATTTGATTCCACGCACAGAGGACTCAAATATATGAAGTAAACAGTTTGAGATTATGTATCAAAGACAAAAAAAAAGAAAAAATTATAAGTCATAATTAAATCCTTAAAGGTCCAGTAATACAAAACTGTAAACTCAAACTGTAAACTCCTGAACAGGACATGACACGAACGCTCGGACTGATCACAGCAACATCAAATCAAATCGTTTTGTTGTTGTTTTTTTCTAGTGTTTTCAGACAGATTTTTTTTTTTTTTTTACTAATGAGCGCACTGTGTCACCATGGTAACTGCTGAACATTCCGCCATAGACACACATGTAGATGTCGCTGCAGAGTGTGAACAGCAGGTTGAGTGTCTTGGCGGTTTGCGTCTGTGGATAATCGTTAGTTTCAGTATCAAAAAAAAGCGACGTGTCCAAGAAGCTCTTACAGCAGCAGCTCGATTTTCTCGTCTGGTCTTATTTATTTATTTTACCGTATTTTTCGGACTATAAGTGTCACTTTTTTTTCATGGTTTGTGTGTTTCCTGTGACTTGTTCTCCGGTGTGACTTCTGTATTAAAATGTTTTTGGTGAAGTGTGGAGAGGTTCTAGTCTTGTGTGTGTGAGGATTTCTGCTGCTCCTGTTCCTCCTGCACCACTGTCACTTGGCTCTACTGCGCATGTCTCCTGCAGAAAGAGCCTCCGTCCTGTCTGTGTCATGTCAGTCGATCGCACCGTTACTTTAAATTTAAACAAACTTATAAAGACAAAGACTGAGAAGACTGAACACAAATGAAACCAAAAACAAAATCAGACTCTGCAGATTACAAACTGCAAGTCGTGAAATCTGCAGCTGAAAACGGAAATCGAGCAGCAGAAAGAAAGTTTGGAGTGAGAGAGAAACTTGTGACACCGGGAGGATGAACCATGAAACTTTCCTGAAGTCACTGGACGGACAAAGTCTGGACTTCAGTGACACCGAAACCATCCTGTCGGGATTCAGAAAGACCGAATAATTCAGTAAATATAACCAGGTCTAGTCCCCGTCTAAACCAAGGTCTAAACCAGGACTAAATGAAGCTGTCCTAAACCAAGTCTAGGTCTAACTGAGGTCTAAAACAGGTCTAACCATGATCAGAATCAAGACCTGGATTCAACAAAGTCAAAGCCAGGTCTAAACTAGGTCTAACCAAGGTCTAACCAAGGTCTAAACCCGAAGTCTATCCCGAGGTCTAACCCGTGGTCTAAACCAAGTCTAACCAAGGTCTAACTCGAGATCTAAAATAGGTCTAACCCAGGTCTAACCCAAGGTCCTTCAGTGACACCAAAACCATCCTGTCGGGATTCAGAAAGACCCAAATAATCCAGTTACTAATAACAAAGTCTAGCCCCAGTCTAAACAAGGTCTAAACAAGGTCTAAACCAAGGTCTGAACTGGAAGCTGTCCTAAACCAAGTCTAGGTCTAACTGAGGTCTAAACCAGGTCTAAACCCGAGGTCTATCCCAAGGTCTAACCCGAGGTCTAACCCGAGGTCTAAACCAAGTCTAGCCTAGGTCTAACTCGAGATCTAAACCAGGTCTAACCGAGATCTAAACCAGGTCTAACCCGAGGTCCTTCAGTGACACTGAAACCATCCTGTCTGGATTCAGAAAGACCAGAATAATTCTAACTGAACTGAGTCTGAGTCTGACGACAGCGACACAGAAGAGTTTGTGTCTCTGTTTACCTCCGGAGGTCGAGTTGTTCAGAAGTGACACGAGGATGAAGAATTGAATGGATTTAGTGATTTGGAGTGAGATGGAGAGTTTGATAAACTTGTTCTGTTGTTTATGTTCTAGTTTATCTGAAGAACTGTTCATATGTGACGTTAACAGTCTGTTCTTCTCTCTTCTATTGTTTTTACCACAACTTGACTTCACACAGGAAATGTCGGCTCCTGATCTCTCATTTTACAAAATACATTTCCCCCTAAAAGTGGCACTTATATATGTTTTTTTTTCCTTCATTTTTTGGCTGGAGCGAACTTATAGTCCAAAAAATACGGTATTTATTTTTTTACTTTCATGGTAAAGTTGGACGTGTGCGTTTGTTTACAGCTCGTTCGATCGTTTCCTTTTGGCTAAAACAGTTCGTACTTCTCGGCGTACGGGACATTGCGCTCGCTCAGTTGTTGATGTCGGCGTTGTTGTTACGGTTACCGTACTTGTGGTGGATGAAGAGCAGCACGACGCCGAGGAAGAAGCAGACGGAGCCCACGGTGACGTAGGCGATGCCCAGGAACGGGTTCTTCCCCCCCATCCACGACACGGTGCTGAAGATCACGCGCTTACGGCCCTCGAAGCTCCGCACCGGGAAGTCTGAGGGGAGTCAAGGAGCAGAGCGGGCACAGAGCGGGCACAGAGCGGGCACAGAGCGGGCACAGAGCGGGCACAGAGCGGGCACAGAGCAGGCACAGAGCGCACAGAGCACAGAGCGGGCACAGAGCAGGTACAGAGCGGGCACAGAGCGGGCACAGAGCGGGCACAGAGCAGAGCACAGAGAGCGGGCACAGAGCAGGTACAGAGCGGGTACAGAGCAGGTACAGAGCACAGAGCAGGTACAGAGCAGGTACAGAGCGGGCACAGAGCTGGTACAGAGCAGGCACAGAGCAGGTACAAAAGAGGGGACAGGAGGTACGAAGTGGGCACAGAGCGGAAAAGAGCAGACACAGCGGATAAAGAGAGGGCACCAGAAGGGACAGAGTGGGTACAGTGGGTACAGAGCGGGTACAGAAAGGAACAGAGCGGGCACAAGGAGGAACAGCATGGGTAGACAGAGGAAGAGCGAACAGAGCAGAGGGGTACAGAAGAGGAACAGAGCAGAGAGGAAAAGAGCGGGCACAGTGGGTACAGAGAGGGCACAAGTAGGAACAGAGCGGGTACAAGGAGGAACAGAGCGGGTACAGAGAGGAACAGAGCGGGTACAAGGAGGAACAGAGCGGGTACAAGGAGGAACAGAGCGGGTACAAGGAGGAACAGAGCGGGTACAGAGAGAACAGATACAAGGACAGAGTACAAGGAGAGAGAGACAGAGCGGGCAAGCAGAGGGTACAGAGAGGCGCACAAGTAGGCAACAAGAGCGGGAGGACAGAGCGGGTACAGGAACAGAGCGGGGTACAAGACAAGGACAGAGCGGGTACAGGAGGAACAGAGCGGGTACAAGGGTACAAGGAGGACACAGAGCGGGTACAGGAGAGGGTACAAGGAACAGGCGACAGAGAAAGGACAAGGAGACAGAGCGGGTACAAGGAGAACAGAGACACGGAGAGAACAGAGCGGGTACAAGGAGGAACAGAGCGGGTACAAGGAGGAACAGAGCGGGTACAAGGAGGAACAGAGCAGGACAGGAAACAGAGCGGGTACAGGAGAACAGAGCGGGTACACAGAGCGGGTAGAGCAGGGTACAGGAGGAACAGAGCGGGTACAGAGCGATACAGATACAGGAGGAACAGAGCGGGTACTACGTACATACAGAGGAGAGACATACATGTACAAGGTGGACCTGGAGGAGCAGTGTAGTTTCCGCGTGGCAGAGTGGGCACCATGTTGCTTTTCTTCTGGATGACGCGGTAGAGTTTCCTGAAGGTGGGCAGCGCCGCCGTGCGCATCCACACGATGAAGTCCTCGTTGATGAAGCCGTTGTTCTCGGGGTCGGCGTCCAGCTCGTACACCGGGCGGCGCCAGTTCACCGGCTTCACTGTGCCTGGAGGAGAGCGGGAAACAGGGAAAAAGGTCAAAAATACAAAAACGGTATGACACAAAGTGGGATCACACCTCGAAGTCGGGCGAAAAGAAAAACAGCAGCCAAAAATCGTGCAAATTCTCCTGTCGTCTGAGTGTTGTATCTAAATATTCTTAAGGTTCGTTCACACCAAAGCGTCAAAGCGTCCAGTTTCTATGTAAAGTCGAAGTGGACGCGCGACTAGAGCGTCCTGCGTTTTTGCGGCGCGTCTTCCGAGTGTTTTGGCGTCAAAGCTCTAGACGCGCGTCCGAGGCGTCAGCGTCAAGAAGTTGAAAATGCTGAACTTTTCACGTCACACGCTGCGTCGACCAATCAGGGACGAGTATCCAGAGACGCAGCGACGTTATTATCAGGAAGAAAAACCCCAGAACCAGAACCACAAACATGAACAGAGAATAAATATATAATAAATATATACACCACAAACACCGAGACGATCGCGAGGACTACACCAGACTAAACCAGGACTACAGGACCAGGACTACGGACTACCAGGACTAAACCCAGGACTAAACCAGGACTAAACCAGACCTAGGGACCCAGGACTAAACAGGACTAAACCAGGACTAAACCTAGGACGGACCAGGACTAAACCAGGACTAAACCAGGACTAGACCGGACTAGAGGACTAGACCGGGACCAAGACTAGACCGAGACTAGACCAAAACTAGACCGGAGACTAGACCTAAACCAGAGGACTAGACCGGGACTAGACCACAAGGACTAGACCGGTATAGACCAGGTCTAGACCGGGACTAGACCAAAACTAGACCGAGACTAGACTGGGACTAAACAAGGACTAGACCGAGACTAGACCGAGACTAAAACCAAAGACTAGACCGAAGACTTAGACCGAGGACCGAGACTAGACTGGGACTAAACAAGGACTAGACCGGTATTAGACCAAGACTAGACCGAGACTAGACCAAAACTAGACCGAGACTAGACCAAAACTAGACCTAGACTAGACCAAAACTAGACCGAGACTAGACCGGGACTAGACCAAAACTAGACCGAGACTAGACTGGAGACTAAACAAGGACTAGACCGGTATTAGACCAGGTCTAGACCGAGACTAGACCGAGACTAGACCAAAACTAGACCGGGACTAGACCTAGACTGGGACTAGACAGGGACTAGGACCAGACCAGACTAGACCGGACTAGACCGGGACTAGACCAAAAGACCAGGACTAGACCAGGGGACTAAACCAGGACTGATCAGTGTCATTAGTGGAGTATAAATATAAACTCGCTCCAGTCGTCGAGTCGATTTCCTCCGCTGATGTTTTTTTTACGTCATAAAAACACTAAAGTCTCTCAGTCTGGTCTGACATTGTTTTGGGAAAAGACCAGGACCGGGCTCTTGTTTCCAGGGCAACGGACGCACGTCAAGTATTTTTCTCCCGTTCGTCCACGACGTCAAAGACACGAGCGTCGGGGCGTCTGAACTCAAATGCAAAGGCTCCGAATAGAGACGTCGAGGCGTTTTTTGACGCTTTGGTGTGAACGGCCGTTTAGATACTAGACGAGACCATGAGGGAAATCACAATCTATTATAATAACAAAAGAGAAAAAATATAAATGATAATAATAAATTCTAAATAAGGAGAAAAAATAACAAAAGACTGGAATAATTCTCTAAATGTTCCTGCCAGACTTCGAGCGTTTGGAGACTCGTCTGAACCTTGGAAGGCGGCCGTCAGGTTGGCGCTGACCCCGGGGTTCCTGAACTTCACGTGTTTGTCCGTCCACCAGGCGATTCCCGTCGAGGTCAGAGCCACCGGAACATGAGTCCCGTTCGGATCGATGTAAAACAGCTCCAGGGAGTCTGAGGAAATACACAAGGATTTAATACAACAAGAGCAGAGACGGAGGAGAAGAGACAGAAGAGGAGAGACAGAGACAGAAGAGGAGAGACAGAGACAGAGAGGAGAGACAGAGACAGAGAGGAGAGACAGAGACAGAGAGAGAGACAGAGACAGAGGAGAGACAGAGACAGAGAGGAGAGACAGAGACAGAGGAGGAGAGACAGAAACAGAGGAGGAGACGGACAGAGACAGAGGAGAGAGAGAGAGACAGAAGAGGAGAGACAGAGACAGAAGAGGAGAGACAGAGACAGAAGAGGAGAGACAGAGACAGGAGGAGAGAGAGACGGAGACAGAAGAGGAGAGACAGAGACAGAAGAGGAGAGACAGAGAGAAGAGAGAGACAGAGACAGAGGAGGAGAGACAGAGGAGGAGAGACAGAGACAGAAGAGGAGAGACAGAGACAGAAGAGGAGAGACAGAGACAGAGAGACAGAGGACAGAGAGAGGAGGAGAGACAGAGGAGGAGAGACAGAGACAGAAGAGGAGAGACAGAGACAGAAGAGGAGAGACAGAGAAGAGGAGAGAGAGACAGAAGAGGAGAGACAGAGACAGAAGAGGAGAGACAGAGACAGAAGAGGAGAGACAGAGACAGAAGAGGAGAGACAGAAGACAGAGAGAGACAGAGAGAGAGTCAGAGAGAGAGACAGAGACAGAGGAAGAGACAGAGAGGAGAGACAGAGACAGAGACAGAGAGGAGAGGAGAACAGAGACAGAGAGGAGAGAGACAGAGACAGAGAGGAGGAGACAGAGACAGAGGAGAGACAGAGACAGAGAGAGAGAGAGAGGAGAGACAGAGACAGAGAGAGAGAGAGACAGAGAGAGAGACAGAGACAGAAGAGAGAGAGAGGAGAGAGAGACAGAGAGCAGAGACAGAGGAGAGACAGAGACAGAGAGAGAGACAGAACAGAGGAGAACAGAGACAGAGAGGAGAGACAGAGACAGAAAGAGAGAGACAGACAGAGACAGAGACAGAGAGAGAGAGACAGAGACAGAGGAGAGAGAGAGAGGACAGAGAGAGAAGAGGAGGAGAGACAGAAGAGGAGAGAGAGGAGAGAGAGAACAGAGACAGAGACAGAGAGAGAGAGAGACAGAGACAGAAGAGGAGAGACAGAGGAGGAGAGAGAGAGCAGAAGAGGAGAGACAGAGACAGAAGAGGAGAACAGAAGAGGAGAGACAGAGACAGAGAGAGACAGAGAGAGAGAGAGACAGAGAGGAGGAGAGACAGAGACAGAGAGAGGAGAGAGAGACAGAGAGAGAGAGAGGAGAGACAGAGACAGAAGAGAGAGAGACAGAGGAGAGACAGAGACAGAAGAGGAGAGACAGAGACAGAAGAGGAGAGACAGAGACAGAAGAGGAGAGAGAGGAGGAGGGAGAGAGCAGAAGAGGAGAGAGACGGAGGAGGAGAGACAGACAGAAGAGGAGAGACAGAGAAGAGAAGAGGAGAGAGGAGAGACAGAGAGAGAGACAGAGACAGAAGAGACAGAGACAGAGAGAGAGAGAGACAGAAGAGAGAGAGACAGAAGAGAGGAGAGACAGAGAGAGGACAGAGGAGGAGAGACAGAAGAGGAGAGACGAGGAGGAGAGAGAGAGGAGAGAGGAGGAGAGACAGAAGAGGACAGAAGACACAGAAGACAGAGAGAGAGAGACAGAAGAGGAGAGACGGAGGAGGAGAGACAGAAGAGGAGAGACAGAGACAGAAGAGGAGAGACAGAGGAGGAGAGACAGAAGAGGAAGACAGAGAGAGAGAGAGAGAGACGGAGGAGAGAGAGACAGAGCAGGAGGAGGAGAGGAGGAGAGAGACAGAGACAGAAGAGGAGAGACAGAGACAGAAGAGGAGAGACAGAGACAGAAGAGGAGAGACAGAGACAGAGAGAGACAGAAGAGGAGAGAGAGGAGGAGAAGAGACAGAGAAGAGAGAGGAGGACAGAGGAGGCAGAGACAGAGACAGAAGAGAGAGGACAGAGACAGAAGAGGAGAGACAGAGACAGAGAGAGGAGAGATGGAGAGAGAAGAGACAGAGAGACAGAGAGAAGAGAGAGAGACAGAGAGGAGAGACAGAGACAGAGAGGAGAGACAGAAGAGGAGAGACGAGAGGAGAGGAGAGACAGAGGAGAGACAGAGGAGAGAGGAGAGACAGGAGGAGAGACAGAAGGAGAGAGAGAAGAGAGAAGAGAGAGACAGAGAGAGAGAGAGAGAGAGACAGAAGAAGGAGAGAGAGACAGAGACAGAAGAGGACAGAGACAGAGACAGAAGAGGAGAGACAGAGACAGAGACAGAGAAGAGGAGAGACAGAGAAGAACAGAGGAGACAGAGAGACAGAGACAGAGAGAGGAGAGACAGAGACAGAAACAGAGGAGAGAGAGACAGAGACAGAAGAGGAGAGACAGAGAAGGAGAGACAGAGAGGACAGAGACAGAGAGGAGAGACAGAGAGGAGAGACAGAAGAGAGAGAGACAGAGAGAGAGAGACAGAGGGAGAGAACAGAAGAGGAGAGATGGAGAGAGAGAGACAGAAGAGGAGAGACAGAGAAGAGAGAGAGAGAGAGACAGAGAGAGACAGAGAGAAGAGGAGAGACAGAGAGACAGAGACAGAGAGAGAGAGAGACAGAGAGAGACAGAGAGAGAGAGACAGAGAGAGGACAGAGAGAGAGGAGAGACAGAGACAGACAGAAGAGGAGAGACAGACAGAGGAGAGACAGAAGAGACAGAGACAGAAGAGAGAGAGATGGAGGAGGAGACAGAAGACAGAGGAGAGACAGAGACAGAGAGAGAGACAGAGAGGAGAGACAGAAGAGGAGAGCAGAGACGGAGGAGCAGAGCAGGAGACTGACAGGAGCTGACAGGAGCGGGCAGAGCAGACAGGAGCAGACAGGAGCAGACACAGGAGCAGGCAGGAGCAGGACAGGAGCAGACAGGAGCAGACAGGAGCAGACAGGAGCAGACAGCAGAGGAGCAGACAGGAGCAGACAGGAGCAGACAGGAGCAGCAGACAGGAGCAGACAGAGCTGACAGGAGCAGGACAGGAGCAGACAGGAGCAGACAGGAGCAGAGGCAGGACAGGAGCAGACAGGAGCAGACAGGAGCAGACAGACAGAGCAGACAGACAGAGCAGACAGGAGCAGGAGCAGACAGGAGCAGACAGGAGCAGCAGACAGGAGCAGACAGGAGCAGACAGGAGCAGACAGGAGCAGACAGGAGCAGACAGGAGCAGACAGGAGCAGACCGTTGAACATGCTGTTGGCGATGGCTCCACACGGGGCGATGGGTTTGTATTCGTGGAAGGCGTACGGTTCACACTCTTTACTCGGCTTCTACAAACACACACAGACAGAGAGGAAATGAACAAAGAAGATATGATCATTAAACTTATTATTAATTATTAGTTCTAATCTCTGACTCTGTGCATTATTCTGTTATAACTGTGACATTTTAAATCACAAAACTGATTTAAAACAATGTAATAAAATAAACAAGAGCGCTGACTTCAGCGTTAAAACTGTGAAACTGTAAAACATGGAGCAGTGGAGCTGAAACCGGTGGGAGATCGACAAAATGGGGAAAAAAAAGAGATTAAAGATTCCTCAAATATGCGCGTGTCAGTCCAAATACAACTTCAGACAGTCAATGACACGGTGAAAAGATCTGAAAAGTCCACTTTACAAAAAATGTCATTAGTCCAAACGTCTGTTAGTTTGAGTGTCTTACAGTGAGAGGGCAGGTTATGCCTGTGTTAGTTTAAATGTTTTAGCTTGTGTTAGTTTCCAGGTGTTTCCAGGTGTTTCCAGGTGTTTCCAGGTGTTATCGTGCTGTTGCTTACAGTGAGGGAGGTCAGGTCTCCGTTGAGTTGACTGTCGTCTCTGGACTTGACGTAGCGTCGATGGTTTTGGTAGAAGTTTGAGAGTCCATAATACATGAACACGTTACTCTGAAAAACAAGAGGGATTTAATCCACAATAAACACACAAACAGGTTTAATATTGTATAATTATCTATCTATTTATGCAAGAAATGTCTGTCTCCTTCTGCTGGTTTGTTTGTCTGTTCGGCTCATCTGACTGATCTCAAATTCAGAGGGTGTCATCCTATTGGGACGGGTGTGTGCAGCGCCAAGTTTCATGTTGTTAGATCGTTTAAAATCAGTGATATATTTTAAATATAAACAAGTTTTGGGATCTCTCTCCTGTCTCTTAGTATAATATAATCATATTAACTCAGAGTTTAAGTTCAATTCACATTCAGGTCACAGAGTTAGATTCAGAGACACAGAATGTGTACTGCACAGTGGTGTCGTTTATGACTTTTTATTCTCTTATTTTCTCATATTTAAATTTTTCCATTTCTAAACTTTTCTTTTTCACCTCATAGGCCTGGTCGTCTTTACAATATACTGTGTCAGAAGGGCCACCCGACAAGCAGACGCCGAATGACCCGAATTATTTTTAAGAAGAATAAACGTTTACATGATCGTGGAGTAAATTAAATTCAGCTTTAGAATCAGAATAAATCACCCACCACCACATTCCAAATAATCATTTTCATTTGGAATTAAGTGTTTACATGGACTTTTTAAAGCAGAATTTTTTTCATTTATTTTTTTATTCAGAATGAAATTACTTTTATTCGGAATTAAAACTCATGTAAACGTGGCAATTATAGGCCTATAGAAGTTCATTTTAAAGTATTCACCTCGTAGGCCTGGTGGAGGTTTATTTTTTTATAGTTTATATTTTAAATGTTTTACCTCGTAGGCCTGGTGGAGGTTTATTTTTATGTTTTTTGATGTTTTACCTCGTAGGCCTGGTGGAGGATTATTTTTTTATGTTTTTTTAAAATGTTTTACCTCGTAGGCCTGGTGGAGGTTTATTTTTATGTTTTTTTTGTTTTATTTTTATGTTTTTTGATGTTTTACCTCGTAGGCCTGGTGGAGGTTTATTTTTATGTTTGTTTGTGGTTTTACCTCGTAGGCCTGGTGGAGGTTTATTTTTATGTTTTTTTTGTGTTTTACCTCGTAGGCCTGGTGGAGGTTTATTTTTTTATGTTTTTTTGTGTTTTACCTCGTAGGCCTGGTGGAGGTTTATTTTTTTATGTTTTTTTGATGTTTTACCTCGTAGGCCTGGTGGAGGTTTATTTTTATGTTTTTTGTGTTTTACCTCGTAGGCCTGGTGGAGGTTTATTTTTTTTATGTTTTTTTGATGTTTTACCTCGTAGGCCTGGTGGAGGTTTATTTTTTTATAGTTTATATTTTAAATGTTTTACCTCGTAGGCCTGGTGGAGGTTTATTTTTATGTTTTTTGTGTTTTACCTCGTAGGCCTGGTGGAGGTTTATTTTTTTATGTTTTTTTGATGTTTTACCTCGTAGGCCTGGTGGAGGTTTATTTTTTTATGTTTTTTTATGTTTTACCTCGTAGGCCTGGTGGAGGTTTATTTTTATGTTTTTTGATGTTTTACCTCGTAGGCCTGGTGGAGGTTTATTTTTTAATGTAGTTTATTTATGTTATGTTTTACCTCGTAGGCCTGGTGGAGGTTTATTTTTATGTTTGTTTGTGTTTTACCTCGTAGGCCTGGTGGAGGTTTATTTTTTATGTTTTTTTTTATGTTTTACCTCGTAGGCCTGGTGGAGGTTTATTTTTATTAGTTTTTTTAATATGTTTTTTTACCTCGTAGGCCTGGTGGAGGTTTATTTTTATGTTTTTTTGATGTTTTACCTCGTAGGCCTGGTGGAGGTTTATTTTTTTAATGTTTATATTTTAAATGTTTTACCTCGTAGGCCTGGTGGAGGTTTATTTTTTTATGTTTTTTATGTTTACCTCGTAGCTTGGAGGTTATTTTTATGTTTTTGATGTTTTACCTCGTAGGCCTGGTGGAGGTTTATTTTTATATAGTTTATATTTTAAATGTTTTACCTCGTAGGCCTGGTGGAGGTTTATTATTTTTATGTTTTTTTTTGTGTTTTACCTCGTAGGCCTGGTGGAGGTTATATTTTTTATGTTTTTTGATGTTTTACCTCGTAGGCCTGGTGGAGGTTTATTTTTTTAATAGTTTATATATTTAAATGTTTTACCTCGTAGGCCTGGTGGAGGTTTATTTTTATTTTTTTTTGATGTTTTACCTCGTAGGCCTGGTGGAGGTTTATTTTTTTAATAGTTTATATATTTAAATGTTTTACCTCGTAGGCCTGGTGGAGGTAGAAGGGGATGGAGCAGGTGCAGGGGCTGGTGCTGTTCCAGCTGAAGTTCTGAGCGCAGTTAAAACACGGACTGGACACGTCCACTCCAGTGTAATCAATCTGAAAACAAGAGAAAAAAACACACACATGTGAAGAGGAAACAGAGAGAAGAGGAGGAAAAGAAGAAGAAGAGGAAAAGAAGAAGAAGAGGAGGAAGAGGAAGAAGAGGCGAGAGGAAGAGGAGAAAAGAAAAAGAGGAAGAAAAAGAAATGGAAGAGCAGAGCAGCAAAAGATGAGGAAAAGCAAGAGGAGGACAGAGGAAAAAGAAAAGGAAAAGAAAGAGGGGGAGAAAGGAAAAAGAGGAAGAAGAAGAGCAGAAAAAGACGAGGAAGAGGACAGAGGAAAAAAGGAAGAGAAAGAGGAGGAGAGAGGAAGAAGAGGATAGAAAAAGGAGAGAGGAAAAAGAGGAGGAAGAGGAAGAAGTGGAGGGAGGAAAGAGGAGAGAGAAAAAAGAGAAGAGGAAGAAGAGGAGAGAGGAAAAAGAGGAGAGAGGAAGAAGAAAGGGAAGAGAAAGAGGAGAAAAGAGGAAGAAGAGGAGAGAAAAAGGAGAGAAGAAAATGAGGAGGAAGAGGAAGAAGAGGAGAGAGGAAAAAGGGGAGGAAGATGAGGAGGAGATAGAAGAAAAGGAAGCGAGAGGAAAAAAGAGGAGGAAGAGGAGAGAGAGGAAAGAAGAGGAGAGAGGAAGGAGGAGGAAGAGGAGAGAGGAAAGAGGAAGAAGAGGAAAGAGGAGGAAGAGGAAAAAGTGGAAAGAGGAAAAAGAGGAGGAAGAGGAGAGAGGAAAGAGGAAGAAGAGGAGAGAGGAAAGAGGAAGAGGAAAGAGGAAAAAAGGAGGAAGAGCAGAGAAGAAAGAAGAAAAAGAGGAGGAAGAGGAGAGAGGAAAGAGGAAAAAAGGAGGAAGAGGAGAGAGGAAAGAGGGGGAAGAGGAGAGAGGAAAAAGAAAAGGAAGAGAAAGAGGAAGAGAGAGGAAGAAATAGACAGAAAAAGAAGAGAGGAAAAAGAGGAGGAAGAGGAGAGAGGAGGAAGGGAAGAGGAGGAAGAGGAGAGAAGGAAGAGGAGGAAGAGGAGGAAGAGGAGAAGAGGAGAGAGGAAGGAGAGAGGAAAGAGGAGGAGGAAAGAGGAGGAAGAGGAAGAAGAGGAGAGAGGAAAGAGGGGGAAGAGGAGGAAGAGGAGAAAAAGGAGAGGAGGAAGAGGAGGAAGATGAGGAAGAGGAGAGGAGGAAGAGGAGGAAGATGAGGAAGAGGAGAGGAGGAAGATGAGGAAGAGGAGAGAGGGAAGAGGAGAGGAGGAAGAGGAGGAAGATGAGGAAGAGGAGCAGTCGTTTCTCGTGCGCCGCGTGCGTCTGACCTCGAACTCTCGGATGTTGTTGGAGGTGACGTAGAGGCCGATGCCGATGGGGATGAAGATGAGTCCGATGATGAAGAAGGCGGGGAGCACGGAGCCGGCGGTGAGGACGGGCTGCCACGCCGGGAGCCTCTGCTGCTTGAACGCCGTGTTCTCCGGTTTACGCCCGCGCAGGGAAGCCCCGCCCATCCCCGCCACGCCGATGTGCCCGTCCTCCTCTTTGGCGTTGTACCCGGACGCCATCATGGTTCAGGACGAAGACGAAGGCGAGGAGAAAGATGACGACTCAGACTGAAGAACAGCACAGACACAAACTGAAAACGCTCTGTTCCACCTTGTGATGTCATGTGGTTATACTGGAAGTGCTCCACTGTGTTTTTAAACTCTATACTGCAATTTCACTATGACCTCTTGTATAGCTGGGATTTTTTTATAACTTATTTTTCTATTTTATTTTATTTCAACTTGCTAGGGATGTGCAAAAATACCAAAATATCAAAACATCATATCGTTTTATGTGATGATTCAGTATCGATATCGTGTGCTGCTGTATCGATATATCACCAAGAGGATTTTTTGGTTTATTTTACTAAATTATTTTGTTACAGTTACAGTTTTGTTGTTTGTTCAGAGGAAGGAAACTTGTTTATGCGACACATTTGATATTTTCACAGTTTTGTTGATTAAAATGTTTGTGTGTCTTGAACTTTGCACAAAGACTTTTAGTGTCACAGACATGATTTAGACTTTATTTTTTTATTGAACCGTATCCAAATCCAAAGCTCTAAATCAGGGGTGTCAAACATGTGGCCCGGGGGCTGGATCCGGCCCTTCAAGACCTTTAATCTGTCTCGGCTGATTTTCTACTAAAATATTTTAATGATATTTTCTATTAAAATCTTGTTAATTTTGTGTGGTGTTTATCACAGCAGCGTCTCCAGCGTCTCTGTACGTGGCCCCTCCCACCAGAGCAGCACAAATGAAGACTTGTCTCTTTCCAAACGCTCTTAAAGGACGATCGTTTTGACTGTTGACCGTGACACCCTCATCAGAAAAATGTCCAACATGAGAAAAGTGGAGCCGAGTGCAGGATTTTACAACAAAAATTCTCATCTGGTCACTAGATCAGACACACATAACCCTTTGGTTGACTCTGATCGACCCCTTTAAACTCATTTAGAAATACAAACATATTTTACAATTTTACTTCATGCATGGACTAAAGCTGCATTTCTTTTATTTGATTGCGATTTTGTTTTGTCTGTTAAATGATCTCCAAACTCATATAATTGAACAGAAACAATTTAAAGCTTAACAAAGTTTATTTTGGGATATTTTTAAATAAATAAGTATATTTATTTATTCTTTTTTAATATAGAGATTGTGGAACAGCTGGATATATAGTTTATTTTTGATATGATACATTTCTGTTTTTCTGCCTTATTTCATGTTAAACGTTTATTTTAATCATTTTATGTTTTATACATCGTAAAACTGCTCTAAGGTTCAAATTTGCAGTAGTACTTTATTTTCAATTTAAAAGTTTTGCGTAAATTATCAGTAACAAAGTGTTTTTCTTGAGAGAGAGAACTGTTGAATAAATGCATCGTGTAACTAAAAAATAATCGTGATTTCAATATTGACCAAAATAATCGTGATAATGATTTTTTTTCCATAATCCAGCAGCTCTAACTTTGTCATAACATAAACTCTTCCCAGTCTTACCAGCTCGTCAGAACAACGCTATTTACTGCTTTTTATTGTTAGGTATCCTCAAAAAAACATTCAGCGTGTTCTCTTAAAAATAACCACTGGAATTTATCGATTCAAATCAAAAAGAATTTATTCCCTAAACAATACAATTCTAATACAGAGCTCTGGGTCAGATTGTTGTCCCTAACTGCCTATGGCTACAGAGGTCTTACGATCAGGCAAATCTGACTGCCTCTGAACTAACTTAACCCAGTTTTTATAGACATGAATATGCAAATAATATGTTGAACAGGTAACGCCTTGAATCTTCCCTGGAGTTTCTCTGCGTTCCTTTAGGTTTACGGAGTTGACAGTAGCCCAATGTAAATCACCAGTTTGTTTAGTTTCACACCAGGCCGAACCATCTCCACTGCTGCTGCTTTACAATGAATTTCCTTAAAAGGACACAACCTACATCTGCAAAGGATGACCTCAAAAGCAAACATGTTTCACACAGTGGTGCCTTTAAACATACATAAGATTTCAGTGGTTAAACAACTCAATGTGTAATACTCAAACAAATATATAAATTCAATGTTTAATATGCACATGTGATGCATTCAAGAAACTTCACCACTTGGTACAGCCTTCATTATAAAGAAACACAATTAATATTCTGCAGAATTAAGTTAAGCGTTTAATATTTTCTGTTTCTCACGTGGCTCAGTGGAAAAAAACAATTCCCCACGCTGCTCAAAACAACACCATTTTATAAACCTTTTACTTTAATAATAATATCATTACATATTTACTTTACATCTTATTTATTTTCCACTAGTTTTTTATTTGTGTCCTAATCTGTGCAGAGTCAATAACATAGAAACAGGACCTCTAAATTTAATGCAAAAAAAATGTAAATAAAGTAAATAAATAAAAGACAAAAGTCCGTGCATTTCTACACCAACAGCTGCTAAATTCTATCCTGGTGCACGTTTGTGTCTGTGAATTGCACAAGTTAAACTCAAAAGTCACTTCTTACCTGCTCAGACTCAGACCTCTGCAGTTTAATGTTTTTAGCCGCAGAGCTAACGGATGCTAACGGCGCAGAAATCCCGCTGTTTCCGGATTTAACGCGGATTAAAGTTCAGAGGAGCGTTTGTCTGCGTGTTTTTTTTAAATAAAATCTCTAACGCGTGTGTAATGTTTAATGAGAGTGTGTTTAGTGCGAGTTTTTATCGCGTGAAGTCATAATGTTCGCCCGTTAGCCCGTTAGCCTCCGTCAGCTGAGCGTGTTTGTGTTTGTGACAGAGGCGCCACCTACAGGCCCGGGGAAGAACTGCAGGAGAAAGAGAGAGAAGAGGAGAGAAGGAGAGAAGAGGGGAGGAGAGGAGAGAGAGAGAGAAGAGAGAAGAGAAGAGAGAGAAAATGAAAGAGAAAGGAGAGAAGAGGAAGAGGGGAGGAAGCGGAAGAGGTTAGAGGAGAGAGGAGGAGAGAGGAGAGAGGAGGACAGAAAAGAGAGAGAGAAAGGAGAGAAGAGGGGAGGAGAAGAAAAGGAGAGAGAAAGGAGAGAAAATTAGAGAGAAGAAGAGAGAGAAAGGAGTGAAGAGGGGAGAGAAAAAAGAGAAAGGAGAGAAGAAAAGAGATAAAGGAGAGGAAGGAGAAGGGAGAGAAAGGAAAAAAGAGGGGAGGAGAAGAGAGGAAAGGAGAGAAGAGGGGAGGAGAGAGAGAAGAGAGAAGAGAAGAGAGAGAAATGAAAGAGAAAGAGAGAAGAGGAAGAGGGGAGGAGCGGAAGAGGTGAGAGAAAGAAGAGAAGAGGGGAGGAGAGGAAATTAGAGGAGAGAGGAGGACAGGAGAGGAGAGAAGAGGACAGAAAAGAGAGAGAAAAGAAGAGAGAGAAAGGAGTGAAGAGGGCAGAGAAAAAAGAGAAAGGAGAGAAGAAAAGAGATAAAGGAGAGGAAGGAGAAGGGAGAGAAAGGAAAAAAGAGGGGAGGAGAAGAGAGGAAAGGAGAGATGAGGGGAGGAGAGAAGAGGAGAGAGAAAGGAGAGAAAAGGAAAGAAGTAGAAAGAGAGACAAATAGAGGAACATTTAACCCAGCGATTCCCAAACTGTGGTGTGTGTTCTCCAGGAGAACGCAGAACGTGACGTGGGACTAAAGGTCTGTTTATATTTCATAAGAACATAAGAACTTCGATCTTGTTCTTGAGGTGAGCACTTCTCTCTCGCTCCGTCCTCTCGCTCTTTCTTTTCTTTTCTTTCTCTGGTTCTGTGGGAGTGAAAATAATAAAAACGCAGTCGTAATATTTTGTTGTTTATTGTCGTAAAATCCAACACAATAAAAAAGAACAAACGTGATTCACTTCAGACGCAGGAAACGAGGATCATTTTAACTTCAGGAGCTGAAACTGACGACGACAAAACTGGTTTTATTTGGTTTAAAGTACAGGGATTAACTCAGGTCTAAACCAGGTCTAAACCAGGACTAAACCAGGTCCAAACCAGGTCTAAAACCAGGTCTAAACCAGGTCTAAACCAGGTCCAAAACCAGGTCTAAACCAGGTCTAAACCAGGTCTAAACCAGGTCTAAACCAGGTCTAAACCAGGTCTAAACCAGGTCCAAACCAGGTCTAAACCAGGTCTAAACCAGGTCTAAACCAGGTCTAAACCAGGTCCAAACCAGGTCTAAACCAGGTCTAAACCAGGTCTAAACCAGGTCTAAACCAGGTCAAAACCAGGTCTAAACCAGGTCTAAAACCAGGTCTAAACCAGGTCTAAACCAGGTCTAAACCAGGTCTAAACCAGGTCTAAACCAGGTCTAAACCAGGTCTAAACCAGGTCTAAACCAGGTCCAAAACCAGGTCTAAACCAGGTCTAAACCAGGTCTTAAACCAGGTCCAAACCAGGTCTAAACCAGGTCTAAACCAGGTCTAAACCAGGTCTAAACCAGGTAAACCAGGTCCAAACCAGGTCTAAACCAGGTCTAAACCAGGTCTAAACCAGGTCTAAACCAGGTCTAAACCAGGTCTAAACCAGGGTCTAAACCAGGAAACCAGGTCTAAACCAGGTCTAAACCAAGGTCTAAACCAAGGTCTAAACCAAGGTCTAAACCAGATCTAAACCAGGTCCAAACCAGGTCTAAACTAGGTCTAAACCAGGTCTAAACCAAGGTCTAAACCAAGGTCTAAACCAAGGTCTAAACCAGGTCTAAACCAAGGTCTAAACCAGGTCTAAACCAAGGTCTAAACCAGGTCTAAACCTCGTCTAAACCAGGTCTAAACCCGGTCTAAACCAGGTCTAAACCCGGACCGTCACAGTTGTCCTCTGGGGTTGGGGCCCACGCTGGACTTCCTCAGGTGGATCTTCAGACTCTCGGCTCTGGACTCGAGGCGCGTGACGGACGACAGGCCCAGGAAGCACTTCGGTCCCCGGGGTCAAAGGTCGGGAGGTCATCGAGGTCGAGTCTGGACCGGGCTGAGACCAGAACCACAAACAGAACCAGAGAAAAAGGATTTAACGTTTTTTATACACACAGGAGCGTCTGTCAAAGGGGCTTTTGTCTTGGATTAGACCTGGTTTAGTTCTGGTTTAGTCCTGGTTCAGTTTCAATTCGGTCCTGAGTTGGTCCTGGTTTAGTCCTGAACAAGAACCAGGATGCAACAAGGGCTAAATGCAGACAAATCCTGGACTAAACCTGGACTTTGACTGGGTTTAAACGAGGATTTAACCAGGACCAAACCAGGACTAAATCAGAAACAAGCCAGATCTAAAAAAAAAAAGGATTTAAACAGATTTAATCTAGATCTAAACTAGGACTAACCTGGAACTAAAACAGATCTAAACCAAAACAGAACTAGACCAGGACTAAACCAGGACTAAATCAGTACTTGAACAGAACTAAACCAAGTCTAAACCAGATCTAAACCGCTGGAACTAAAACAGGTCTTACCAAAACAGAACTAAACCAGGACTAAACCAAAACAGAACTAAACCAGGACTAAACCAGATCTAAACCAGGACTTAAACAGAAGTAAGCTACATCTAAACCAAATCTAACCCGGAACTAAAACAGGTCTAAACCAGATTTAAACCAGGACTTAAACAGAACTAAACTAGGTCTAAACCAGAACTAAACCAAAACAAAACAATACCAGGATTTAACTAGATGTAAATCAGGACTTAAAGAGAACTAAACCAGGACTAAACCTGATCTAACTCAGAAATAAAACAGATCTTAACCAAAACAGAACTAAACCAGGACTGGACTAATCCAAATCTAAATCTAAATCAGGATTTAAGCAGAACTAAACTGAGTCTAAACCAGATCTAAATCAGGACTTGAACAGAACTAAACCAGGACTGTACCAGGACTTAACCAGATCTAAACCAGAACTAAAACAGGTCTAAAGCAAAACAGAATTAAACCAGGACTAAACCAGATCTAACTTGGAACTAAAACAGGTCTAAATCAAAACAGAACTAAACCAGGACTAAAACCAGGACTTGAACAGGACTAAACTATGTCTAAACCAGATCTAACCCAGAACTATAAACAGGTCTAAACCAAAACTGAACTAAACTAGGATTGTACCAGAACAGTACCAGGACTAAAACCAGGTCTAAACCAGGACTTGAACAGAACTAAACTAAACTCAATAAGGATCTAAACCAGGAACTAAACCAGATCTAAACAGATCTAAACAGATCTAAACCAGGACTAAACAGAAAAACTAAACTAGGTCTAAATAAAGATCTAAACCTGGAATTAAAACAAATCTAAACTAAAACAGAACTAAACCAGGACTTCACCAGAACTAACCTGGAACTAAAACAGGCCTAAACCAAAACAGAACTAAACCAGGACTGTACCAGGACTAAACCAGATCTAAATCAGGGCTTAAATAGAACTAAACTGAGCATAAACCAGAACTAACCCAGAACTAGAACAGGTTTAAACTAAATCAGAACTAAATCAGGACTTGAACAGAACTAAACTAGGTCCAAATCAAATCTAACTCAGAACTAAAGCAGGACTAAACATAAACAAAACTAAACCAGATCTAAACCAGAAATAAAACAAGGTCTAAACCAAAACAGAACTAAACCAGGACTGTTCCAGGACTTAAACAGATCTAAACCAGGACTTGAACAGAGCTAAACTAGGTCTAAACCAGATCTAACCCAGAACTAAACAGGTTTTACCAAAAGATAACTTAACCAGGACTAAACCAGATCTAACCCAGAACTAAACCAGATCTAAACCAAAACAGAACTAAACCAGGATTGTACCAGGACTTAACTAGATCTAAACAAGGACTTAAAACAGAGCTAAACTAGGTCTAAACCAGAACTAACCCAGAACTAAACCAGGTTTTACCAAAACATAACTTAACCAGGACTAAACCAGATCTAAACCAGAACTTGAACAGAACTAAACTACATCTAAATAAGATCTAAACCAGGACTAAACCAGATCTAAACCAAAACAGAACTAAAACTAAACAGGTCTAAACCAGGAAAAAACCTAGGACTTAACTTAAACTAAACTTAAACCAGAACTAAAGCAGAACTAAACCAACTAACTAAGAAGATAAACTAACCAAACCAGATTACTAAACAAGGACTACCAAAAAGAAGACTAAACCAGATCTAAAAGAACTAAACCAGACTACCAGACTAACCAGATCTAAACAAACAGAACTAAACTCTAAATAAGATCTAAACCAGGACTACACTAAATCTAAACCAAAACGGAACTAAACCAGGACTGTACCAGGACTTAACTAGATCTAAACCAGGACTTAAACAGAACTAAACTAGGTCTAAATAAGATCTAACCTGGAATTAAAACAAATCTAAACTAAAACAGAACTAAACCAGGACTAAACCAGATCTAAACCAGAACTAAACCAGATCTAAACCATACCTAAAAGACAGAACTAAACCAGGACTAAACCAAAATAGATCTAAACCAGGACTAAACCAGATCTAAACCAGAACTAAACCAGGACTAAACCAAAATAGAACTAAACCAGGACTAAACAAAATCTAAAACCAGAATTAACTAGGACTAAACCAGATCTAAACCAGGACTTAAACAGAACTAAACTAGGTCTAAATAAGATCTAACCTGGAATTAAAACAAATCTAAACTAAACCAGATCTAAACCAGAACTAAACCAGGCCTAAACCAGAATCTAAAACCAGAATTAACCAGGACTAAACCAGATCTAAACCAGAACTAAACCAGGACTAAACCAAAATAGAACTAAACCAGGACTAAACAAAATCTAAACCAGATTAACTAAACCAGGATCTAAACCAGGACTAACCTAAACCAAGAACTAAACCAGAACTAAACTTAAAATCTAAACCAGGAAAACAGAATAAACTAAATCTAAACCAGGAATTAAAACCTAAACCAAGAACTAAACCAGGACTAAACAAAATCTAAACCAGAATTAACCAGGACTAAACCAGATCTAAACCAGAACTAAACAGGCCTAAACCAAAATAGAACTAAACCAGGACTAAACAAAATCTAAACCAGAATTAACCAGGACTAAACCAGATCTAAACCAGAACTTAAACAGGCCTAAACCAAAATAGAACTAAACCAGGACTAAACAAAATCTAAACCAGAATTAACCAGGACTAAACCAGATCTAAACCAGGACTTAAACCGGTCTAACCCTGCTTAAACCCACCGTGTTCCGGGGCGTCCTGACGTTCCCGTTGGTCGGCGTGATCATGATGCTGCTGCTCTTCTTCTCCGGACTTTTCTGAGCGACTTTCTCGGGACTTGGCGGGACTTTCGGCGCCCTCCGCACCGTCCCCGCCGCCGCCTCCTCTGCCGCCGCCGCCGCCGCCGCCCTCCGTCCGAACTGCGGCGCCCCCAGGTGGATGTGGATCTTGTTGTCTTCCGTGGTGATGATGCTCCCCTGCGCGCCGAACTTGGACTGCGGAGCCTCCGAGCGCATCTTGATCACCGTCTTCCCCGGTTCTTTCACCTCGTTCACCGGCGTCGTGCTCACCGTGATGATCGACACCGGGGACGGGAAACTTTCGGAGGTTTTTTCCGGATTCCGGGCCTTGGAGACGGTGGTGATGGTGACGGGAGACTGCGCCCGCTCGAAGCCGTCCCTCACCCGGCCGCTCCCGAACGGCGCCGGTTTCGGGACGATGGTGATTTTCGGATTTCCCAAAGTCGGAATGATGGTGGCGCTGGAGAAGAAGTCCTCGGATCTGGGGCTGGTGATCTCCAGCGTCGCTCGGCTGCTTCCCGAAGTGGAGACCAAAACGAAATAAATAAAAACGGAAAAAAAAAATGAACAAGGGTTAAACATTTTTTCATATCAGAGGTGCTTTAGTCCCGGTTTGGTTCTGGTTTGGTTTTGTTTTAGTCCTGATTGGTTCAGTCCTGGTTCAGTCCTGGTTTAGATCTGGTTCAGTCCTGAGTTAGTCCTGGTTCAGTCTTGGTTTAGTCCTGGTTCAGTCCTGGTTCAGTCTTGGTTTAGTTCTGGTTTAGTTCTGGTTTAGTCCTGGTTTAGTCCTGGTTTAGTCCTGATTTAGTCCTGGTCCAGTCCTGGTCCAGTCCTGGTTTAGTCCTGGTTTAGTCCTGGTTTAGTCCTGTCCTGATTTGGTCCTGGTCTAGTCCTGGTTTAGTCCTGGTTTATTCTTGGTTTAGTCCTGGTTCAGTCCTGGTTTAGTCCTGGTTTAGTCCTGATTTAGTCCTCGTCCAGTCCTGGTCCATTCCTGGTTTATTCTTGGTTTAGTCCTGGTTCAGTCCTGGTCTCCTGGTTCGGTCCTGGTTCGGTCCTGGTTCGGTCCTGGTTCAGTCCTGGTTCGGTCCTGGTCCTGGTCCTGGTCCTGGTCCTGGTCCTGGTCCTGGTCCTGGTCCTGGTTTAGTCCTGGTCCGGTCCTGGTTTAGTCCTGGTCCTGGTTTGGTCCTGGTCCTGGTCCTGGTCCTGGTCCTGGTCCTTAGTCCTGGTCCGGTCCTGGTTTAGTCCTGGTCCGGTCCTGGTCCTGTCCTGGTGGTCCGGTCCTGGTCCTGGTCCTGGTCCGGTCCGGTCCTGGTCCTGGTCCTGGTCCTGGTCCGGTCCGGTCCTGGTTTAGTCCTGGTCCTGGTCCGGTCCTGTCCTGGTCCTGGTCCTGGTCCTGGTCCTGGTCCTGGTCCTGGTTTGGTCCTGGTCCTGGTCCTGGTCCTGGTTTAGTCCTGGTCGGTCCTGGTCCGGTCCTGGTCCTGGTCCGGTCCTGGTCCTGGTCCTGGTCCTGGTCCTGGTCCTGGTCCGGTCCTGGTCCGGTCCTGGTCCTGGTCCTGGTCCGGTCCTGGTCCTGGTCCTGGTCCTGGTCCGGTCCTGGTCCTGGTCCTGGTCCGGTCCTGGTTTAGTCCTGGTCCGGTCCTGGTCCTGGTCCTGGTCCGGTCCTGGTCCGGTCCTGGTCCTGGTCCTGGTCCTGGTCCTCCTGGTCCTGGTCCTGGTCCTGGTCCTGGTCCTGGTCCTGGTCCTGGTCCTGGTCCTGGTCCTGGTCCGGTCCTGGTTCAGTCCTGGTCCTGGTCCTGGTCCTGGTCCTGGTCCTGGTCCTGGTCCTGGTAGTCCTGGTTTAGTCCTGGTCCTGGTTTAGTCCTGGTCCTGGTCCTGGTCCGGTTAGTCCTGGTCCGGTCCTGGTCCTGGTCCTGGTTCCTAGTCCTGGTCCTGGTCCTGGTCCTGGTCCTGGTCCTGGTCCTGGTCCTGGTCCTGGTCCTGGTCCTGGTCCTGGTCCGGTCCTGGTTTAGTCCTGGTTTAGTCCTGGTCCGGTCCTGGTCCGGTCCTGGTCCGGTCCTGGTCCTGGTCCGGTCCTGGTCCTGGTCCTGGTCCTGGTCCTGGTCCTGGTTTAGTCCTGGTTTAGTCCTGGTCCTGGTCCTGGTCCGGTCCTGGTCCTGGTCCGGTCCTGGTTCTGTCACCTGCTCTCGGTGTTGGGGGTGAAGCGGATGTGCAGGGGGCTGTTCCGTGAGTTCGGTTCTTTAGTTCCGTGTCGGATCCAGGGGCTCCAGGTGTCGCTGTGTCCGGTCTGGGCGCTCGCCGGCGGGAATCGCTCCAGCACCGGCCGGGCCCGTCTCTGCCGCAGGTGGTTCATGAAGCTGTTCTCCTCCTGCACCGACTTCCTGATGAAGCCGGCGGCGGTGTCGTCGTCGGTCCACTGGGTCTGCGTGGCGCTGGAGGTCACGGGGACGTCCACCATGCGGCGCCCGCTCACGCACGGCCTCGACACGCGACTCAACCTGGAAACACCACAGCGGGTTTACATTAGGTTAGGTCACTTTATTTGTACTCGTAGGTAAATTTGCAGATTTGAGAGGCAGATCAGCCCGTGTGTCGTTCGTTCATTCGTTTTTCAATATAAAACCCAAAAAGAAAACAAAAAAATAACAGTTTTTTTTTTCTTCATTATTTGTCTCCAAAACCAAAATGAAAAAACAGATAATGATTCGGTTTTTTTTTTCAGTTTTCAATTTGGTGTTTCCCGTTTACGTGATTTCCGTGACTGCGATGTCGGACTTTTGCGCCGCATACGGACTGAACCAGGACTGATCCAGGTCCAGGACCAGACCGGGACCAGAGCAGGACTGAGACCAGGACCAGAGCGGGACCAGAGTGGGACCAGAGTGGACTCTAAGCTTTGACTCTGAGCCTCTGCAGGGTCCGAGCCTCAGCTTCGAGCTCTGGCCCTGCTGTGGACTCTGAGCCTCCGGTCTGGTCCCGGTCTGGTCTCGGTCTCAGTCCCAGTCTCAGTCCCAGTCTCAGTTCCGGTCTCAGTCCCGGTCTCAGTCCCGGCCTCAGTCCCGGTCTGGTCCCGGTCTCAGTCCCGGTCTCAGTCCCGGTCTGGTCCCGGTCTGGTCCCGGTCCCGGTTTTGCTTGGCTAAGATCACAATAAACATTAAATATATAACAAACACACAATTTATTTCAAGACAGACGTACTAAAATTGTAAACATAAATAGATTATAATTTATTCACAAGTACGATAGCACCTGGAATGAAGCTCCTTTTAAAACACAGGTGTCAAACATGCGGCCCGGGGGCCAGATGCGGCCCTCCAAGACCTTTAATCTGGCCCTCGGCTGATTTTCTACTAAAATATTTGAATTATATTTTCTATTAAAATCTTGTTAATTTTCTGTGGTGTTTATCACAGCAGCGTCTCCAGCGTCTCTGTACGTGGCCCCTCCCACCAGAGCAGCACAAATGAAGACTTGTCTCTTTCCAAACGCTCTTAAAGGACGATCGTTTTGACTGTTGACCGTGACACCCTCATCAGAAAAATGTCCAACATGAGAAAAGTGGAGCCGAGTGCAGGATTTTACAACAAAAATGGACTTATTCCTGTTTACAGACAAGTTCATGTTCAAACATTGTGTTGAAATTGCATTTTTCTTAAAGTTTCAGTATGGAGTAAGAAAGCTGTCAAAAATATTCGTGCGCATAAAATAGAAATCCGTGCGTATTTGGGAAATCCGTGCATATTTGGCTGTAGTTGTGCATAAAATAAATATTTGTAAACTCAAATGAGTCCAGTCGTACATAAAATATATTGTGTGTATTTTATCCATCAGAATACGAATTGAAAAATTACGACGTCATGAATTACAATCACGAAATGAAAATTTAGGATTACGCTTTCATCAGTACGAATACGAATTCACAGACGGAACTTTACTGTCAAAAATACGTCATCACTTCACAGACATTATTCATCGAGCAGAAGAAACATCGATCAAGATCAAGACTGAGCAGCTCAAGTTTGTATCAGAGTAAAAACAGAGTAAAAGCACAAGAAGCTACAACAGCGACCAACAAGTGGGTTAATTAAAATCTATTGTAAAAATGTCTTGAATTCGGGAACCGAACGCTGCTGTATAATATTGTGTAGAAACACCTCCTCTGAACGGGAAATTGCACCTATATGTTAGAAAACAGAGTGGAGCCAGTTGGAAACATCAGACGTAACGTTATCCCAGGGATCATTAACAAATATCAGGTTCTCTGTATGTTTAGATTAAAACATTCACGACTACAGCCACAGCGAACATCAGCCAGTCTGAACCTTCAGCTGCATTTCTCGCATGAAATACCACCAAAAGTTCCTCTGGACGCTGAAATGTCCCAGTTTACACCAAACACACCAAACTGTCCTGGTTACAGACGTCACAGCTAATGAAATGTTCCACATTACAGTTTAATGCAGCTTCCAGCAACAATTAATGTTCGTGTTTACAGGCAACACCTTGGTATGTTTACAGTATTTACCGGTAAGTTGAACGTCACCGTGACGTGGATGGATTTGCTCATTATAACCCATTATAACTCATGTATAACCCATTATAACTCATGTATAACCCATTATAACTCATGTATAACCCATTATAACCCATTATAACTCATGTATAACCCATTATAACTCATGTATAACCCATTATAACTCATGTATAACCCATTATAACCCATTATAACTCATGTATAACCCATTATAACCCATTATAACTCATGTATAACCCATTATAACTCATGTATAACCCATTATAACTCATGTATAACCCATTGTCTGAAATGCAGCTGAAGGTTCAGACTGACTGATGCTCGCTGTGGCTGTAGTCGTGAATGTTTTAATCTAAACATACAGAGAACCTGATATTTGTTAATTAGCCCTGGGATAACGTTACGTCTGATGTTTCCAACTGGCTCCACTCTGTTTTCTAACATATAGGTGCAATTTCCCGTTCAGAGGAGGTGTTTCTACACAATATTATACAGCAGCGTTCGGTTCCCGAATTCAAGACATTTTTACAATAGATTTTAATTAACCCACTTGTTGGTCGCTGTTGTAGCTTCTTGTGCTTTTACTCTGTTTTTACTCTGATACAAACTTGAGCTGCACAGTCTTGATCTTGATCGATGTTTCTTCTGCTCGATGGATAATGTCTGTGAAGTGATGACGTATTTTTGACAGTAAAGTTCCGTCTGTGAATTCGTATTCGTACTGATGAAAGCGTAATCGTAAATTTTCATTTCGTGATTGTAATTCATGACGTCGTAATTTTTCAATTCGTATTCTGATGGATAAAATACACACAATATATTTTATGTACGACTGGACTCATTTGAGAGTTTACAAATATTTATTTTATGTGCAACTACAGCCAAATATGCACGGATTTCTATTTTATGCGCACGAAATATTTTTGACAGCTTTCTTACTCCATATTTCAGATTGTTCATAATATTATTATAAAAGAAAGAGTTCCACAATTAAAAAAGATTTCTGTAATAGATTTGCGTTTCCTTACAAAAATATTTGAACTTATTGTTATTTTTGGGGTTTATATGTCATGAGTTTTCTGATCCGGCCCCTTTAGGATCAAAGCAGGTTGAATACGGCCCCCGGACCAAAATGAGTTTGACACCCCTGTTTTAAAACAATTGGTTCTAGATCTTGAAACTGAATTTGGTTTAGAGGATGTTGGTCTAGGTTAGGACAGGTCTAAGTTAAAGATTCCTCAAACATGAACACTTTAAATACAACTTCCGACGGTCACTGAGAAGGAAACGACTATAAACGACTGTAACACGGTAAAAGTTCTGAAAAGTCCGGTTTGCAGAATGGGTCTGATTTATAAAGAGACCACAATATTGGATCCTCATTGTTCAAACCAAACCGTTTCTGAACCACTCTAGTGAAAACAAAATGCATCACCCTCACCTCCTCATGCTCTCCAGCTCCTGTGTGACCTTCTCAAACTCCTCGTTCCTCTGCGCGTTCCTCTCCTCTTCCTCCCTGAGCCTCCTCTTCATCCCGGCGTGTTCCACCTGCAGCTGCGAGATCCTGTCCTCCAGGTTCATCAGCTCGTGGACCTTCTCCTTCAGCGTCACGTTCTCCGCCCTCAGCTCCTCGTTCCTCTCCTCCTCCGCTCTGAACCGCATCCTCAGCTCCGTCTCCGCCTCTCCTTTCTCTATGGCTTTGCTCCGGGCCACCTCCGCCTTCAGCTCCTCCATCGTTTTCGCCAGAGAGTTCGACTTTTCCTGCTCCGACCGGAAACGTTTCTCCAGCAGGTCGTACTCGTCTCCCGTCTTCATCAGGTCTCCCTCCACGATCTCCAAACGCTTCAGCCGACTCCGGAGTTTGTTGATTTCCAAGCTGAACTCCTCTGAGATTTGACCTTTTTCCTGGAGGTTTCGCTCGCTCACCGCCAACTTATTTTGCAAATCCTTCTCTCTTTTTTCCAGATCTTCGCTCTTGGCGTTGGCGTTCGTCAGGTTGGCGTTCAGCTGCTTGCTTTTCTCCTGCTCGCTCGTCAGCTGCCTCTGCATCTCCGCCACTCGTTCCTCCATCTCCGACTTCACCTTCAGCCACTTTTTACTCTCCTCGATCAGCTTTTCCGTAACTTCCGAAACTTTAGCTTGTTCCTCTTTAAATTTCCCGCTGAGCTCTTCGCATTTTTCCTCTTCCGTTTTCAACCTCTCCGTCAAATTCTTTCGTTCGTCGGCCATGATCACCGCGAGCGATTTGAGTTTCGCGATGTCGTCTTTTAGAAACTTCTCGGTCTTCTCGAACTTGGCCTCGGCGGACTGCAGCTCCTTCACTTTCGCCTTCACGGCCTCCAGCTCCACGGACAATTCTTTCACGTTCTGTTTCTCTTTCTCCAAATTGGAACACAGCTGGAGACTTTCGGTTTTGCTCTTGTTAAAAATCCCTTCGAGCTTCTCCATCTGTCCCATCCGCTTCTGGACTTTCTCGAACTCCAGCTTCAGCATCTTACTTTGGTTCTGAGCTTCTTGCAGCTTCACTTTAAACTCCTTACACTGCGATTCCATTTTGGTCAGCTCCTCGTCCTTCCCTTCCATCTCCAGGACCTTTTTCCGCAAACTTTCCAACTCCGAAACCAAATTTGGGTTTTCGTTTTTGCTGATTTTCTCTGTCAGTTCCTTCAGGTCGTTTTCAGACTTCTGCAGGACTTTGTTTCTCTCCTCCAGCTCCTCGATCTTGTTGGCGAGCGAGACCAGTTTGAGTCGAAGCTGCCGCATTTGTGAGTCTTGCGCCAGGAGTTTGTTGGTCATGTCTTCTTGTTCGTTTAAAAGTTTCGCCGATTTCTGCTCGAGCTCGGCCTCCATTTTGAGGATGGTGTGGGCGTCTTCTTGGGTTTTCTGGTTTAAGGCGGCGACGCGCTCCTCTCGCTGCTGCAGTTTGAGGCTCAGGTCTTGTATCTTCTGGTTCTGCTGGTCGGTTTGCTCCACGTGCTTCTGCCGGTCGTCCACCAGCAGAAGGACGAAGGAGCGGAGCTGCATCAGTTCAGACTTGAGTTTGTCCAGCTGTCGGCGGTGCTCTTTGTCTTTGTGAGACTGGTACAACTTCTCCTGCTCCACCAGACGCTTCAGTCTGGAGACAAACACAAACATGAAAATCAAATACTACTGCTACTACTAGAGCCCGACCGATATGGATTTTGCTGTGGCCGATATGAAACCGATATAATGGACGTTGGAGCTGCCGATAGCCGATATAATCGCCGATATATTTAGTGATGTAAAAATTCACTGTAAATGTTTAATTGTTTAAAAAACTTAGGTTTGGCTCTGGTGGATTTTAAATTGGGTTTATTTAGGCAAAATTTATTGTTATTCTGCCTCTTTACATCATATTTACAGACAGTAGGTTGGCATTTTTGCATCACATTCTAGACACTAGTGATGGGGATTCCAGTTCTTTTTAGAGAACCGGCTCTTTTGGCTCGGCTCACTAAAAGCTTCTGGTTCTTTTGGCTCCCAAGTGGCTCTTCAGATTGTTTTGTTGCAAGCAGGACTAAAGCACGTCTAAAGCAGGACTGAATCAGGACTGAACCAGCCAAATATGCTCCTTTTTTTTATCCTACGTACACGCAAATTTCTCAAAGTTTCGTTTTCAGCCGCTGCCGCTGTCAAACCACGAATCTGCACGCGGCGTGAACAGGAAAAAAGTGAGAGAAAGAGAAAACACGGCTCCCAATAAGGATCAGGCTCCCGTCGTTCGCTTCAAAGAGTCGGTTCTAAGAGTCATTTCGTTCGCGACGGACCCATAACTAGTAAAGAAAGTAGTGCTATTAGCCTTTAGCCGTAAATACGTGCGCGCCGCGGTAATTAATTATATGCGCAAATGTCATAATTCACACGTCTGTTCACAGCTCATTTACATCAGTGCAGGTCCAGGAGCAAATATACAGACAATATAATCACTTTAGAACAGACCAATAGAAAACAGTCTGTTTATGTGCGGGAGCTACAGCAGCTAACCCATAACAAATGACAAAAACTAGCTTCAGAGTCGACATATTTCCAACACTCACCGCTCACACAGGCTCCTCCCACATCACAAATCTGCACTAATAAATGTCCTTTTAATCCAGACTCAAACCGATTGTCCGAAAAAAGAAAATAATCTCAGTGTTTGGATCTGTGTCTGCAGGTGTAAACAAACACACGTGACTCTGTGGTGTGTTCAGGGACAGTACGTGACTCTGTGGTGTGTTCAGGGACAGTACGGACACACACACAGACAAATGATTCCGTAGATAAATACTGATGTGGAGCCACATATTAGGACATTTATCTGTCTGTAAATTGGATTAAATGAACAGAATGTAGAGAGTCTAATTTTAGATTTTTAACGATGTATCACATGCCCACGTGAAAATATCGGCCCCTATCAGCAAGCATATCGGCCGATAGCAGATATGCCTTCAGGTGCCCATATCAGCCGATAATATCGGCCAACCGATATATCAGTCGGGCTCTAGCTACTACTACTACTACTACTACAGTACTATTACTGTTACTACTTCAACTACTATTACTACAACAACAACTACTACTACTGCTACTACTACTACTACAGTACTATTACTGTTACTACTACTGTTACTACTCCTCCTACTACTACTACTGTTACTACTACTACTACTACTACTACTACTGTTACTACTACTACTATTACTACTACTGTTACTACTACTACTACTACTAATACTGTTACTACTCCTCCTACTACTACTACTGTTACTACTACTACTACTACTACTACTACTACTACTACTACTACTACTACTACTGTTACTACTACTACTACTACTACTACTACTACTACTACTACTACTACTACTACTACTACTACTACTACTACTACTGCTCGACCAGGCGCTTCAGTCTGGAAACAAACAGAAACATGAAAAACAAATACAGCTACTACTTCTACAGTACTATTACTATTACTACTACTACTATTACTGTTATTACTACTAGTACTACTGCTACTGCTACTACTGCTACTACTATTACTGCTACTACTACGACTACTACTACTACAGCTACTAATACTACACTAGGCGTTTCAGTATATATAGTGTAAAAACACATTTGGTACTAATGCTACCATGTACACGTATGTGTGTGTTTGTGTAGTGTATGACCTGACTCGGTGTGTGTAGTGTATGACCTGACTCAGTGTGGGTATATGACCTGACTTGGTGTGTGTAGTGTATGACCTGATTCTGTGTGTCTGTCACCTGACTCTGTGTGTGTGTGTGTCTGTGACCTGACTTGGTGTGTATGTGTGTATGACCTGACTCAGTGTGTGTGTGTGTATGACCTGACTCAGTGTGTGTTTGTGACCTGACTTGGTGTGTGTAGTGTAGTGTGTGACCTGACTCAGTGTGTGTAGTGTGTGACCCGACTCAGTGTGTGTAGTGTGTGACCTGACCCAGTGTGTCTGTCACCTGACTCTGTGTTTGTGTGTGTCTGTGACCTGACTCGGTGTGTGAGACCTGACTCAGTGTGTGTATGTGTGTGTGTGTGTGTGTGTGTCTGTGACCTGACTCGGTGTGTGTGTATGACCTGACTCTGTGTGTGTGTATGACCTGACTCAGTGTGTGTGTGTGTATGACCTGAATCGGTGTGTATGACCTGAGTCGGTGTGTGTGTGTATGACCTGAGTCGGTGTGTGTGTGTGTATGACCTGACTCGATGTGTGTGTATGACCTGACTCAGTGTGTGTGTGTGTATGACCTGAGTCGGTGTGTGTGTATGAAATGACTCGGTGTGTGTGTGTATGAGCTGACTCTGTGTGTGTATGACCTGACTCTGTGTGTGTATGACCTGACTCGGTGTGTGTGTGTATGACCTGACTCGATGTGTGTGTGTATGACCTGACTCGATGTGTGTGTGTGTATGACCTGACTCTGTGTGTGTGTGTATGACCTGACTCGGTGTGTGTGTATGACCTGACTCGGTGTGTGTGTATGACCTGACTCGGTGTGTGTGTATGACCTGACTCGATGTGTGTGTATATGACCTGACTCGGTGTGTGTGTATGACCTGACTCGGTGTGTGTATGACCTGACTCGATGTGTGTATGACCTGACTCGATGTGTGTGTGTATGACCTGACTCTGTGTGTGTGTGTGTATGACCTGACTCGGTCTTGTTCCAGCAGGTTGGTGAAGTCGTCGCTCTTGGTGATAAACTCTCGGTGTTTGAGTTTCTCCGAGTCGAGTTCTGAAACTGTTCGTCTGTGAAGTTTCTCCACCAACAACAGCTGCTCCAACATCCTCCTGTACGTCTCCCTCTGCTTCACCTCCAGATGATCCAACTGCAGAAGAAACAAACATCTTCAACATCTCCAACATCCTCCTGTACGTCTCCCTCTGCTTCACCTCCAGATGATCCAACTGAAACACACAAACATCTTCAACATCTCCAACATCCTCCTGTACGTCTCCCTCTGCTTCACCTCCAGATGATCCAACTGCAGAAGAAACAAACATCTTCAACATCTCCAACATCCTCCTGTACGTCTCCCTCTGCTTCACCTCCAGATGATCCAACTACAGAAGAAACAAACATCTTCAACATCTCCAACATCCTCCTGTACGTCTCCTCTCTGCTTCACCTCCAGATGATCCAACTGCAGAAGAAACAAACATCTTCAACATCTCCAACATCCTCCTGTACGTCTCCTCTGCTTCACCTCCAGATGATCCAACTACAGAGAAACAAACATCTTCAACATCTCCAACATCCTCCTGTACGTCTCCCTCTGCTTCACCTCCAGATGATCCAACTACAGAAGAAACAAACATCTTCAACATCTCCAACATCCTCCTGTACGTCTCCCTCTGCTTCACCTCCAGATGATCCAACTACAGAAGAAACAAACATCTTCAACATCTCCAACATCCTCCTGTACGTCTCCCTCTGCTTCACCTCCAGATGATCCAACTGCAGAAGAAACAAACATCTTCAACATCTCCAACATCCTCCTGTACGTCTCCCTCTGCTTCACCTCCAGATGATCCAACTGAAGAAAACAAACATCTTCAACATCTCCAACATCCTCCTGTACGTCTCCCTCTGCTTCACCTCCAGATGATCCAACTGCAGAAGAAACAATCTCCTCCTCCTCCTCTCTCTCCTCTCTCTCTCCTCCTCTCCTCTCCTCCTCCTCCTCCTCCTCCTCTCTCACCTCTCTCTCCTCTCCTCTCTCCTCCTCCTCTCTCTCTCCTCTCTCTCTCTCTCTCTCTCCTCCTCCTCTCCTCTCTCTCCTCCTCCTCCTCCTCTCCTCCTCCTCCTCCTCTTCCTCTCTCCTCTCTCTCTCTCCTCCTCCTCCTCTTCCTCACCTCTGCCATGGGCGTCTCGTACACGTCCTCTCTCTCCTCCTCTCTCTCTCCTCCTCCTCTCTCTCTCTCTCCTCTCCTCTTCCTCCTCCTCCTCCTCTCTCCTCCTCCTCCTCTCTCTCTCTCTCTTCCTCTCTCCTCTCTCCTCTCTCTCCTCTCTTCTCCTCCTCCTCTCTCCTCTCCTCTCTCCTCCTCCTCTCTCCTCCTCTCTCTCCTCTCTCTCCTCCTCTCTCTCTCCTCCTCCTCTCTCTCTCTCCTCTCTCTCTCTCCTCCTCCTCCTCCTCTCCTCTCCTCCTCCTCTCTCTCCTCCTCCTTCCTCCTCTTCTCTCCTCCTCCTCCTCCTCTCCTCTCCTCCTCCTCCTCTCTCTCCTCCTCTTCCTCTCCTCCTCCTC